ATTATTACACACAATTTGAGTAATTTAATTAATTTTTAATAATGCATCTGAAACATTAATTAATATATTTAAAGTTATTTAAATCATATTTAATTAATGGAAAATGATAATTAAACAGAATTATCCATCATCCAAAATAATTCGTTTAATTTCGCTTCTGTTCTGATATTAATGTTGTTATAATATAGACAGTATGTTATACGTGTTACATTATAACATTGGCATTTATAATTATACGCAGTTACAATAAATTGCCTAATTAGATAGGAAATTAGACTCTTTAATACTTTTTCAAGCCTTTTGAACAAATTCAGCAACCGTTGTTAACACTGTTAGTGTAATTTATTTCTTAAAATTATAGTAGGTGACAAGTGTTACGGATTATGGTATAACTTATAACCAGTATGGGGCATAATCGTAATCATAGTTAGGATTACGATTATAATCATAGAATTTTAAGGTGTGATTACGATTACGATTATAATCACAAGCCCCGGAGATATAATTACGATTACGATTACACTCGTAATCACAATCTTTTTCTATGATTATTTCTATGATTTACAGATTTACCCTGTGATTACAGTCGTAATTATACTTTTTTTTGGTGATTACTAGTGTAATCATAATCAAATCCGGGACCATGAATGTAATCGTAATCGTAATTATAATCATAAGTGTAATCGTAATCATATCTCCAGGGCTGTGATTACAATCGTAATCGTAATCATATCTCCGGGGCCTGTGATTATAATCGGAATCGTAATTATGATTACGATTACGCCCAACACTGCTTATAACTATATACATCGTTCAAATTAATTTCTTGTTATAGACTATAATAGAAAATTTGCTGACCAACTAAGTAATTAAAATTTTTTTTGCATAGTTTTAGCCGACTATCAATAATTGGTATAAAGACGAAGGAAAAGAACAAGTTGTATATAATCCTATAGACAAATGTTAAGTTCATGTTAACAGCGATAGTGAATTACACCACTCAGACGGTATAAAGCCGTGTTATTATGCTGTCTATATTATATACATTATACATACAGTAAACAATAATAATTTTCTATATTGTAATTTGTCAATTCATCAACAATGTTGTATTACATAGTATGTTATAGTAAACGTATTAAACATAAAACAAAAACATACCTAACACAATCTTATTTGGCTAAAGATAATATTGTTATTCCAATCCAACTTCAACCAGTTAAATTTAAAAAAAAAAATGTTTTATATTCAATAATAGTTATTACTAATATACAAATTATTTTGTGTAAATATACTCTTAGACTTTTTTTATAATAAAAAATGTATATCTATCTTACTTTTCTTGAAGAACTCGAATACTATATTGTTCGTTAACACGAGTAGATACTAAATAAGTATTTCCTCTTTTTTACATTACATTTTTGAGTAATTCAATTTGTATTCATGTTTTATGTTTATCATAGTGTTAAAAAAACTAATACCTTGAACTTGACGTACATATTAACTTTAAAATCCTGCACATTAAACCTATCTGGTTAATAGTCAAAATTGCTTGGTATATTATTTATACTTAAAGCACTTGTAACTAGCTTTTCCATTCATATTAAAAACCCCAAAAATATAATTTAATCCGTTCCTCAAAAAAGGTGTTCTGCCCCCTCCCCATTTTTTTAGCTTAGTTTTCGGACTAAAAATCCGTTTCACTAAAATTCTAACAATTTGTTGTCAACTTTTTTTATTTAGGAAAAACCTAATAAAACTATTATAAACACATTTATTATCTTATATTAACAATTCACATATTTGCAACGAAGCGATTATTTTAATAATGATATCATAATATTTAATTATACCGCTTTTTAATTAGGTAATCATTGATGATATATAATTTGTCCGGGTAAGTAAAAATCCGGGATCTCTCGGTTTAAAACCATGTTTTAAAATAATTACTATTATTTGCAAAAGTAATTAATAAGTACAGTGTAGTATGATGGACGTTGACAAACACGGAAACGCACCATGTATGGTAAAAAATTTAGGACATGGCCAACAGAGTGTAGTTTTAAATGAAACCTTTATACCATAAATAAAATGGAACCTGTTTAATGTAGAAAATGGAAAAGATATTTTATTGTTAATCTTATAAAATGTGGCAAAATAATATTTACAATGTATTGATTATTCTTTAAATGTAGCAATTTATGTAGTAGTATTTTGTTTGTATTTATTTCATTTTACATGGTATTTTTTTTAATAGAAGAGAATAAAATATAAAACATTACCAATTCTTGAAATTTACACATATTCATATACATAAATTTTTCTCAATAATTATACTTAGGATATTAATAAATAATAAGTTACACAGATTATTCAATAATTAAAATTGTTGCGTTTTTATCAATATTTTGTAAGAATATAGTTTCTGTTTTGTGTTTACCGAAATTAAAGGGGTCAGAGCAACAACCAGTTAAGTCCAATTTGGTACAAGAAACAGTAAAATCGATCTATTACTTACAATGATATAAAACGCATTTTTTCAATTGTAGTAAATGGGATAAAAAAAATTCTTTTGATCGTCCTGTACATTTTCGATTTATCTGGTTTTTGTTCGGAACCAATCCTACAGCAGTGAGTAATTTGTAGGTCTCCGACCGAGCTTACATTGATCGATGAAATCATCAGGTATTTTAGTCAATATAATAAACACTTCAATTTAGTAGGTTTAATTAAAAGCGGTTATTATCACATTTGTATACGTGTTGTGCAACAATCATGCGTATAATAAATTACTTTGAAATGTTATAGAAGGCTTGTAAGATTTATGACGTAACTCAAAGCTTAACACATTTTCTTTATCTTCTGCCATAGATTAAGTATACTTAATATATGCTTCTATGCAATAAATTTGGTTTAATTATGCTTCTATAATTATCCATCATCGGTGTTTATATAGTTAGCATATTATTATTTTTAATAATTTAAAAAGATTTGTATGATTTTGTTAATTTTTATAAATAGTAATGCTGCTACTAGTGTATAATAGTATATTAGTATGACAAATATATTATTAAAATACAATACTGCTGTTAAGTCTTTGTTAAGAACTTTTAGTGTTATCTAGTACGTCAATTCTCTAATAGGACAAGCATAATATAATTTAAGCCTTAACATTAAGCCTTATGTAAATATTATTTTTATCAAAACATAACTCCAACCGTTTTAGTGTAAATAAGTAATAACTGAGTACTTTTTTTTGTTAAATGACATTTAGTCTATATTTTTATACTACATTAGACAGGCTATTCATCAGCGTAGGTTGTACGTAACAAGCTCATTAAGTATGCTAAAATGTATAGTGTTAAACTTCTACTGTTACACTTCTATTCTTACTTATTTCTTTCTCAATTATCATTTTTTTGGGAATTCGTTCTTGATTTTAATTATTGTTAAAAGAGTGAAAATTGTTAATTAATGATTGAAGCACATCATTGGACTAATCCATAAACTTAATGAGTTATTTAAACTTTACAGAAGTTGGTTTGTTATTCTATACAACAATATTTTTAAGAGTTATGTTTATCTGTTTTTTTTTAAATTGTAGTATTGTAAAAAAAAGCGATTTGAAAATTTGTGGGGCAATTTTGTTTTATATGCCACAATTTTTCAATAATATTTTGAACAACTTAAAAGACAATACTACGCACACCGAAAATCATTTTAACTAACGAATAAAAAAAATATAAAACAATATGCTTCATCTATTTTTTTTAAATTAAACATTAATTTCCGGTGCATAGTGCATACCTATGTTTGCTCAAATATATTATATCACGTGATCACTATATTTTTCTATTTACGCGTTAACCACTTAAGCTGGCGGTACTGCTAAAATAATGTTATAATTATGTGTGACTAACTAGGTATTGTCATAGTCCTTCAAATATAACATTAAATAGTTGTACAACTACAATGTAGTTCACTGTGACTACTTTATAAGCATGACCTTCAATTGTATTTTTTTTCGTTCATTTTCTTTTCAATCGACGAGTTGCCTTAGTTATTTATATTAATATGTAAATAGTTGAATTTATTAACTGTAATAGATTATGTATACAATTCGCTGTTTTATAAAATCAAATTTTAAATAAATGGTTTAAAATTAAAAATATTTTTTTTAAGTTAAAATGTTTGTTATGGACCACATATTTTAAAATATGTATTTTGTGGTTAATATAAGTTTAATACAGTTTGCACCTACCACGTCATATTATCACTATTATATTCGTATTCGGCTGCATGTAACCTGGCCAAGAGTCGGTTAAAACGGCAGTTTTACATTGATAGATCTTTAGCCGTCCGTCTCGGGGAGTTGAACGTTGCCCAGGGGTGTACCACAAGGAGGCAATCTAACAGCACACCACCTATTATTATTATTACTACTATTAAATTTGTTTTTTTCTCTTTATGTGTTTAATTTTGGTAAGCATGTAATATATACCATACGCTAAATAAATAAATCACTATTATTATTTTTGTATTGATTTATTAACTTTTTTCTAGGTTGGCGTTTGACAAATATATTGTTTTATGTACCAATTATTTTTTAACTATAGGCTAATTTTTTATATATAGTCACATATAGTCATAGCTTTGGAACATAAATAGTATACACACATTTTTTTAAGGTGTTGTTTAAAAAGCTCCGGTTTATAATTTAAAATACAAGAGTTAGTGTTAAAATATTAATGAATACGGCCTAGTATAACCATGTATAATGTTTATGATAATTTCAGTTGAATAATTAATTAAAATTTTTGTAATCAAACGAATTTATTGGTTGTCAATTGTTATTCATTTTAAAACCATTTGCCAAGATAAATGCGAATATTCTCATTATAGATAATAACACATGTCAAAAAGATCTATTGAAATCAGTTTCCTTTTAATATGATTTAAAATGTTTAAAATAATTATAAAATTTTGTTTTATGGTTTTAGATCTAGTATGGATGCCGGTAACAAAAAGGAGCGGCCTCCACACCCTCGAGCCAACGCCAACATATTTGAAGTCCTCTCATTTTGGTAATATATTTACTTTTAAATGAAATATAACATGTTTTATAATCACACACCAGTACAATTTAGGCATTGCTTATTCATACAGTGATAGGTAATTAGAATCAATAAATTAATGAATATCCAAGAATTTAATCTAAATCGTTGTACATCATAGATAATACATAGATAAGATTTAATTAATAACTGCCTGTTTCCTGAGATAAAACTACAATTATTTTTGTCTAACATTGTGTAACCATCGAACGAAAAAAATTTAAAAAAAAACACATCATTATAAAACCAGCACATTCTCAGCTATTGCATCTAAATCAAGAGAAACTAGTAGAAACTAGTGCCTGTGATTTTAAACTTATAATTTAAACTACACGTGTATTTATTATTATTATTAATTAATTATTTTCAGATTATATTTGCTTAGACAGGCAGGCAGATTATCTTTTCCATTATAACAATCATACATTTTTTTTTATTTGTATAAATTTAAACAAAGAAAAATAGAAAAAACTGTTAATAGCTCTACGCGCTTACTCTATCGCACTCCACCTCCCATCCTACCCTTTAATCTTTAGTAACTTAAAAAGTAATTATCCAAATCTAGTTATCGATCAGTCAACAATTTTCAGCAAATTATTTTTAGTAAAATGGCTATCTTAAGTTCTATAAAATGAATGTAACAAATTAAAAAAAGTAAAATAGTGAAAAATAAATTAGTTAAAAATCTTAAAAATATTCACTAGAACAAAAGTTATTGTGGGACACCCTGTATACATGTTATCTTTATTAGTGTTTTACTGAATGTTATTATATAATACATGTATAAAACAGTTTAATTAGGTACTTGTTTTGACAATCTAAGTATCAAATAACAATCAATATCCCGTTTCAAAAAATTATTTATTGAGATGTTTATTTTTTTTTTAAATAATTTAATCTGCGATAATATTAAATGTAAGTGTGCACTGTTCGCTGTCGGAAATTCTTTAGAAATAAAAATTTGAAACACTATTTCTAAAAAGACGTTTTTGGTATCCACACAGAACTGATAAACCTTGGAACGATAAATCTTGAATCGATAACTTAGGAATTTATATTATTTTGAAACCTGTGACCTCTCCCTAAACTGTAGCATGCAAGTCTAGGATATTTTTGGTTTAGCGTAGTAAGGTAACGGCGCCAAACGTGCGAGTACCCGCGTTTTATTTGAAGTCGTAACAGAGTCAGCCAAAAATATAGATTCTTAGATAATTTAAGGTTTATCGTTTCCGAGTAAATTCGATTTCAGAATTATTGGTTCCAAATGTATTGATTCAAAAAAATGTCGATTCTAATTAATGTCTGTTCAAATTAAACCAGATTCAGCGATACTCGGATTCATACAATTTACCGTTCAAAGTGATATTATTCAAAGTTTTTGCATACGTCAAACAGATATACTGTTATTTTTTATTTAAGTATAGTAATTAATCTAAATATTGCTTACATTTTCTGTTTACCGTTCCACTAATAAAATATTACCTATTACAACAATGTTTAATGTACAACAACGTTATTTTTACACTTTTATTTTCGTGGCTTATGTCAAAAAGGACTTTACTTTTTATAACTTTAAGAAAATAAGTTTTAAAATTTTGCTTTTGCATTAAGGGTAAAACCTGGTTAACAAAGTCATAATTTCCTAATTCGTTTCATTAATGTCTATTAGAACTATTAAATTTTATATTGATTAGATATTAATTCTAAATTCGCAGTATTTTTATACTCATTGTTTCTTACACAAAAGAATACCTATACTGCGCCAGCTGATTAAACTATAAACTTTAAATGTTTATTTCTCAAAAATATATTATTGAAAACTGCAAGAAAGATAGAATAAACATTTTGGCTTTTTATCATTATTATTATTAACGGTTTCACAAAAAAAAAATTGTTTTCCTTATTTAAATATTATTAGAGAGAGATTTAAATATTATTTTTGCCTATAATATTCTACAAATTCAAAAGAACAAATAACTTAATAAAATATTTTAAAAATGTATAGCTAAAAATATTCTTAAATGTTCTTAATTAAAAAATGCTACACAACGCCAAATCATTGAAAAATGTTTATCTAAAATTTTTTTGTACTAGTGTTATCATTTTAAAAATATTAGTTAAATATTTCGAACAAAAATAAAATTCCTAACATTTTGTTTTTTATGTTTTTTTAAATCGATTACAAATCAAGGTCATTGTTTTTTTTCTAAATAACTTTTTTTTTGTACCCCTTTTTTATTAAATTAACATTTTAGTTAACTTGTTCATTTTTCCAGAAAACACTATTAGTCCCTTCCAAGCTATGTTTTTTTATTGTAGATCATTTTGTAGATTATCATTGTACAATTTATCATTGATACATTTTACAATTTTTTTTTTTTAATGTTATTGACTTGTTTTTTTTCAGTTGGACGTTAAAACTTTTCAGACTAGGCAGAAAAAAAGATTTAGAAGTAAGTGATCTGTATACAACCCTAGACGTTCATTCATCTTCATCTTTAGGAAATGAATTAGACAAGTAAACACACATTTTAATACCTACGTAAAGTTTGTTGTTTAAGAAATCAACATTTATATTGTATTGTAACTAACAAGGCGATGGCGAACAGAACTAGAAAATGCGAAAAAGTCGAACCGTAAACCGAGTCTATTGAGGGCTTTGTTTAAAATGTTTGGGGCCAAGTTAATTTTGCTTGGGTTGTGTCTCGCGTTTGTAGAAACCGTATTAAGGTAAGATTATATTTCAAGTATGCAGTATAAGTATAGTATAGTATTTTTTCATATAGTATTGTTTATCTTGCATAAATCACAATGAATAACATTTCGTTGTCTACATGGTATTTACATGATTTTTATAACATGAATAAAACTATTTGTTTTCTGAGATCGAGAGTTAAACATAAATATTATCTAGTTTAAAGCGATAAGCCTTCCCCAAGTTTAACGGGTTATTAAATAAATATTGTACAGAGGAATTGTTGATTTTTGTTTTTATACGACTCGACAGTATAATAGCAAATTTGAAACTAAAAAAAAGCTATAAGTACAGTGGGTCGGGGCATAGTAGAAATGAAGAGGTCACAGGAATTATTATAACTGAAACTAATAAAATCACTTTTAAATAAACGATTCGATGCGAATCGGTGGGTATTATGTTTAAAGTTTAAACCCCACATAAAAACTGACTACGGTCAAATTGTAAATATACATTTTTCGGGTGTTTTTCTCGATTTTGAAGGGGAAGGGATGAACTTTTTAAATTTTTAGCCTAATAAAGTAACTTACAGGTACGATTTCTGATCTTAAGCTACTACACGAAGAAATCGGTCCAGTGGCTTAAAAGACATTGTAGGTACAGACTACAGACACAAAAATATAAAAAAAAACACATCATTGTAAATACAATACCTTCTAGATAATATTACCATTTCGAATGCACCGGTTGACCTCAAATCGACATAACTTACATCGTTGGTATTGTTTATTTGTTTCTACAGCAAAGAAAGAGTAGAAAAATGTAATGATTATATATAGAATATAGATAAGTGTATGTACATTAAATTCATTTTTGAATACGAATGCATACGATTCAAGGTTAACTTAATGTAATAGATATAGAATAAAAAAGGCAAAGCACGTTTTTTTTAAACAAGTTCTATGAAAAGTAGTTCATTTATTTCATCAAATGGGGTTTTATCAGTCATAATACTAAAACTCCCAATATAATCAAACAACCATAAGTAATAGATTGTCTTAAAAAATTGATATACTTACCCTCCCCCCTAAAAAAAACAATAGTAGCCATTTTATTGAAATAAGAAATTTTAATTTTTTCTAATGAACAGATAAATGAAAATAAAAATTCAAACGCTAACATATTTTTAAATTTTTTGTTATTTAATGTTATTAAAAACATATGTTGTCATTTAAAAAATCCTCCTTTTTGGCTTATAAGGATTGGTGATAAAAATTTTCAAAATATTGAAAAATGTAGTAAAGTATGTACCTAAAACTTTGGGGAAAAAAATTCTCAAAATATTCATATTTTTACAGAAAATGTTATACACATAAATATATAATATATTATATCTTTCAACCAATATTTGAATATTTATTTTATAGTTATAGCTATTAGTCGCATTATTCATTGTATCTAACCTTAACCGAAGTTACAATGTGTAATAATGTTACGAATATTTGCACCTTAAATAGTTTTACACAGCTTAGTTAAAAAAAATAATTTTCGACAAACGAGCTTCAAACCCGTTCCCATGCTCTCTTGTACGTATCATAGAAGATAGATACACTATGTTGGAATATGTTATAATATGTATGGAATTAACATATTGCGACTATTTATTTGTTTACTTAAATATTATATTTGTTGTTTATTTCTTAATATTGTCTTTTTTTTTTTACATACAATCAAACTTAGGCTTAAATCGTATACGCTTATATTATCACACTATTTCTATTAGCTCTATTTAAAAAGTTGGTGTATAAATGTAAAATTTAGTATGTGAAATAAGTAATAACTGTTTAATTTTTTAATTTCTTCATTTTATATTTCTTTACTATGTATAATATCAAAAATAATAACAAATTACTTTTAAAAATGGGCTACCTGATAATAACATCAACATTTTAGAACGATAAAAACTATTCATAAAATTCACTGTAGTACAACAAAATTAGTTCTTTTTATTAAGGATCAAAGTTTATCTATGTTTCACCGAATCTATATCTAGTTTAAGAATTGTTCTACACATGCATTGTTACAAATAATTGTTACACGTTTAAATATTATTTAAATCGCCTCATAAGCTGTAAAAACCATAATTTTGTTGCATTTTCAGCGCATTTCATAGTATGAATTATATTTTTAAATAATTTTTTTTCTGGAAGTCAGTCTACGCATTATGACGTTTATTGTCGAGCAACATAATTAATATACGGGTTAAACCGTTATTTGACCAATGTAGTATACTTTGTCTCGGCCACATGTTAAACATCTTGATCCATCTACATTTGCCCTTGGTTGTTCAGGATGATCCAACCTATCTCAATTGGATACATGATTTGTTATTTCGATTCGCCAACCACTACCGAGTCCAATACGGCGACATTGGCTACAGTTGCCTTGATAACGTCTATCTTATTGTGCACGTTTGGATTTCATCAGTATATGTTTGAACAAACTGAAATGGGGTTTAAAGCACGTGTCGCTGTTACTTCTCTTATCTATTCAAAGGTACAAAGTCATAAGTAAAAGCCATGTTGTACTTGAGTAATTTTACATATTAGAAGAAAAAAAAACAATAATCAACCGTACCAAAACATAACATTTTAGTACAGTAGTGTTTATAAACCTAAAAATTAACAAACGGTTCTTGTTTCTGTATCTCTTTCTAAAACAATATTATGTATATTTTTCTAGTAGACGTTTTGCTTCCTCGTCTAAAACGTGTTATAGTCATTCCTTGTAACTCGCACTATTCATTATTATTTATTGGAATTGTGTTGAAAAGCTTCAATTGTAAATTAATTTCACGCAAACTCATCCTGGATAGACACCATATTTTGTATTATGTAAATATTTTTGTGTGAACTAACTTATGATTATTGAAAAAAAGGTCATCTTTATATTTTATTGGTAACAGTAGATATACACTATACAATAATAGTTTAAAAATAGAACATTAGAAATTATTATTTATAATTAGAAATATTAGACTTTTCTAGCATAAACTTAGATAACATTATTTATGAGTTCGATTTAATTTTAGCTACTAATAGTATGCATACTTATTATGTTTCGCATTAAATGTACATGTAACAGTTGTAACCAAAACTAAGTAAAAAATTGCATATAAAATAATTTTTATTATTTAAAAATGATATAGGCGGTTTTTATTATAAAACAAAATTTAAGTATAGAATTTTTAAGCTCTTCAATGTATTCAATAATTATTTTGTTTCGAAAAACTAATCGACCTGTGAAAAATATTATTATTTTAGAATTATTTAGCTTAACAGTAAGTTTACATTTTCGCCTTATTGACATAAACATAGTTTAATAATTTTTATGTCGATAAATAATAATTAAAGATTTTTATTAATTATTTAAATAATCGGTAATTTTAATAATTTTTTTAGCCTTTTGAAGACTTGATTAGTGCATTTTTATGGGATTTCTAGGTCATCAAGTTCCGGGTTCAAATTATAAAATATGCTGTAATGTACGCTACATATTATGTTTTTTACAAAAAGGACTTATTTGTTTTTAATAAAACCTTAGTTTAAAACAAGTTTAGTGAGTGGATCTTAAAAGTTGTAGGATATTTTATAGTGACATAAACTTTTTTTTACGTTTTAATCCGTAATTAAAAAAAAAATCTATATTTATTATTGTCAGAACCTTTCCAACTAAAATAAGCTAGTAACCTGAATATTTTGTTTGTTTAGTAAAATTCAAATAATTTACGGATGACAATTGTGTATTGACTGTTGAAACTAATTTGAACAAATAGGGTATGAGTTGCACGTGTTTGACTAAATAATTTAGCGAAATTAATGAAACGATTGACAAGTAGAGCTCCGTAGAGTTTGATCTTCTACATCTCGTTCAATCACCTCGGCTGTCCTCATATCACTCTCTATTTCATCTATCCATCTTTTCTTCGGTCTTCCTATTCCTATTTTTCCTTCTATATTCATCTTCATAACGACTCTCACTACCTCTGCCTCATCTATTCTCATTACATGACCTAACCATCTCAAACTATTCTCTCTCATTTTTCCCACAACTCCTAGACTCCCTCTTATGTATTCATTTTTTATTCTATCCTCTCTAGTCACTTCACTCACCCATTTTAGTATTCTCATCTCCGCTACACTCATCCCCTGTTCAATTTTCTTGCCTACTGCTCAACATTCCGACCCATATGTCATTGCTGGCCTCACTGCCGTCCTATACAATTTTCCTTTCAATTAGAAAGAATTATAGACATCCTCCTGTCACACAAAACACCTGACGCTCCCCTCCACTTCATCCATCCACAATTTATCCTATGTTTCACGTCCTCCTCATACCCACTATTTTTTTGTACTATCGATCCTAAGTACTTGAACCTATCTACATCACACGAAATCTTACCGTGTACCAAATTAAAAAACCAAAAATGAGATAATATTTATGGTGACTCGACTTTTTCATTCATTCTTTTGGTCGCGAAAAAAGTGAGTACATTCTAATAATGATGGCAGAAGTAAATGTGTCAGAGTTACTCACATCGGTTGTTCAATTAGTTTGAAAATCGATTTCTCTATAGTATTTAACACGTTGGCTACCAAGCCATTTTTCATAATACTCTTTTGTTGTACCATGAGGGTACTCAGGTTCTCTCACCTAATCTATTGTTCTGTACTGTTTGGACACTCAAGTTCTCTCAGTATATTTTGTGTTGATGCAACACTAACGCCATCTACTTTTATAAAGTTGTAACAAATACCGTTAAAGCGTCTTAAGTACACGTTATCTACCTGTGATAACTGTGGGAGTGCTCGGGTTCTCTCAAAAAACAAGAAATTTGATATTTCCTAAAACAATTATTATTCAGCCAGAATATGATATGATCAATATTTATAAACTATAGACTTGGTACACAGAGAGAGACTTTAAATAAATGGCAGGGTACACAAAAGCTAGAGCAGTGAGAGAACTCGAGTACCTATCCTCATGGTAGTCAACGTGTTAATTGGTCAAAGTATCCAAACTTACTGAAAACCCATATTATGTAAAAAAAAAAAATATAAATACAAATAACAAGTTCTGAGACTATTATATATTAGCTGATAAAGGAAATAATTTTTATCTTTTACCACTGCACAAATAACCGCAAAACCTTTATTTAAAATAATAATTTTCTTATCAATCAACATTCTTAACACTATTTGTATTTAGTTTAACCATCCTGTTCTACCTTATCAATCAACATCTTTATCGATATTATATCTCTTATCAAAAGATTTTGCATTATTTACTCCTCTATTTTCAGACGGTTTTTCGTAAGAAATTGTTGAAAGGTATCATAGCAAAAATCCTATTCTACGTAATAACTTTTTTATGGTTACAAATGCGTTAACACGTTGGCTAACAAGCCATTTTTCATAATACTCTTTTGGTGTACCATGAGGGTACTCGGTACAGAACAATAGACTAGATGAGAGTACCCGAGTACCCTTATGGTAGCCAACGTGTTAAAACAAGTTTTAAGCTCATCCTAGAAACATAAGACTACTTATATATACATAAGAATGCATTAAAAAAAACTGTATTCATTTTCTCTTTCAGTATAACGTATAATGACTTAAAAATCGAACACTGCATTATGCGTTTGTGTATTCTAGTTTTCTATATGTATTCTATATTATTATATATTATAGTTATACTATTATTTAGCTTTATTTTAAATATTTGTATAATTGTAATTAGAATAAACGTAGTATTTGTACAAACCAATTGCTAAGGTTGGTTTTAAGTGGGGTCTCTACCCTACTACTAAAATATCAATTTTTTACCAGTGGGTAGCTTACGAAAAGAGTATAATATAGGTATAGCTCATATATTGTACAGCTGTAGTGATGCTGCGACCGATAGAGACACGGAAAGCATAAAACCCATGTCGATAGTTTTTTTTTTTTTTAATTTTTGTATTTTTAAGCGTACCTATAAAATACTGGATTATTTTTTTGTGTTTGATTATGACCCGTGTAGCATCTTCCAGCCATTCTTCTTGGGTCGCCTTATAGGACATTTCGATCCGGCGACAACGGACGCTGAGTCATCCCTAGGAAAATATTATGCCATTGGCTTGATATTAAGTACATCAATAAGGACTTTCGGTTTCACTGCCTTTGATATGCTCATCACGCATATGGGGATGAAGATACGCGTGTCCACGTGTACTCTCATATATAATAAGGTATCGTCGCCATGTTCCCCGTATTTACCATTATTAGTTTTTTGCTGTATATATGTATAATACAAATTTATAAAAATACTGACACCTCATTGTATTATAATGCCATAATAATTATTTATGTATGTACACGCAATAATAATTAACTCTGTCTATAATATCAATATTATACATGTGTGATTGCGCTTAAAATATGTGGTTTGTGGTTTTAGTTTTTTTTTCTATTAGAAATCAATCGATAATTTTTTAATTTTATTTGAAACCGTTCCAATAACTTTGCACGTGATCATATTTCTTTTAACGGGTAAACTGAACTACATCATTTTATTATTTATTTTACTATAAAGTAATATATTGAGATATTACGAGGCGATTCCGCTTTATCGCGTCATTCTCCCAGTATCGTTTTACCGCTAAAAGATATCGGTGAAAAAAATATCATGTTATAATGCCGTTGTCGAAGTTAACATAAAACAAATCATTATTAAAACAATAATATCTCGTTTCAATGTCATTATATATTATTTTCGACATAACACAAATTGACAAATGTACGCCACCGGTGGCTTAATGAAAATTAAAATACATATTTAATTGTTATGTTATCTTTTGCTTTTGAAACTTTGGCTTTACTTGAATTTTTTGGCACTAAGTAAGCGTGTGTCAAAGTAAAAAATGTATGGCTTTGTTTTATCGTTTTTGTTATTATTTTTTTAATAACAATAACAATAATGGGTGTAGGGTTTTACTCGAAAATGTAATTATATTTCAATAACAAACACTATCAGAATAAGATTACATACACACGCACACACACACACACCAAAATCATTTCTAACAAATTCTATATAAGATATCCATACTATATATTAGCATGTATAGAGTACACATTATTAAAGCTGTTTATTTAGATAATTGCTTGTAGAACGTAGAATAGGTACCTACTATTCTACACATAGATACAATATAATATGTATTGACGGACGTACCTATTGATTAGTTAGTAGGTATCTCATAATAATTAGAAGAATAACACTATTGTCGACCAGTTTCGTCAAGACGTGGTGTTAAATCTTAGCACTATAATGCTTAACAGTGCTTGGCGATAAAATATTGTACATAATTGTTATTATATAATGGCCACATTAAACCATTATGAACAACAAGTTCTGTTTGTATATATAAATAAAATTACTACATTTAAGGTCTTGCTTAAAACTCGAAGAGCAAGAGACATGCTAGAGTTCTGCATGCAATAAACGCCAAAATACCTATTTAATATGATGTTATATTTTTAATACTACAGTTTGCTCATCAAAATATAATTTGCTTCTTTTTTTATGACCATACGTTCCCCATATTATTATAATTACATTTTGTATTTTATTATCTTACATCAGTAAAATAACGATAAAAATATCATTATGCTTTAAATATGTTACGATTTTTAGCTTATATTCCAGACAAGGTTTTTTTGAAAATCTCTACCTAAATCAAATAATACCCCAATATAGCAAGGTCTTTTTATATTTTTACGTTGAAAATTCTCAACAAAAACAATTACTATTGTTATTGGACTTGTCTTAAAGACTGGTTTCTTTATTGTTTTGAAATGTAATATTATTTATTTTAATTTGAAAACTTATACTCGTATAGTACCTTATAAGTTAATAGATAAGTTTTATTATTTTTAATAGTTTTACTGACCTTTGTTATAACTGCCAGTGAGTACCTGGTTCCGTCTGTAATTTAGTACCGTGTATATTTAGAAAATTGCTTTTTATAAATTACATTTTTACGCTAGACACTAATATTATTATGACACGACACTGATTCAAACTAATATTATCCTTATATTTTAGCAACATAATGGTGTATAGTGTGTTTTTGATAGGCATATTACACATTTTTTTTGTTATAATTTGCTATACATAATATTAATGAGATTTGTTGTATTTAACGGGTAATTAATTTTTTTTTTTAATGTAATTTAAACAAGAAAAAAACCTTTAGTTAAAAAAAAATGTAATTTATATATTTCCAAATATATAAATGTAAGTCTGTGTTATAAGCCTAAAAATGTTTTAAATAAAAACCGAGGTACCTATTCTTAAATTATGGTATACACAATTGTATGTTATATAAAGCATGTATTTATTTACGATACGTATTTAGTCATAATATTTGATTTTGTGAAGAAAACAAATTTATCTTTGACTCACTCAGTATTTTACATTGGGTCGATACATTTTTTTAGGAATTTTATTGAAATATATTATAAATGAATTATAACATGTTTACAAGTAAAAACTATACACGATTATTACGTGTGGCTCCATGATCAACGACCTTGAGCGTGTGTGTGTGTCACTGGACCAACAGCGTCTATTGACATGTTGCTTAATAAAAGTCCATTCTTAATAATCATTCTCCTAATGCAGTCCTTAAACACAGTGACCCGTGATCGACCTGTTTGATAATTTTGCGACCCGGTTAAGTTGTGCTTCGACTGTGGTTATAAATTGCGTATAACAATACTAGTTTTGTTTTATTTATGTTATTTTGCCGTTATACAAAAATTCTAAGTTGGAATCAGTGGTGTGTTTTTAGGGTTTTTTTTTTATTTGTGTATGTGTGTGTGTTTTGTTTATTATTATTATTTGTACCTGTGTAGAATGACACAGCCTCTGTTCATCGGCGGTCTGTTATCCTATTTTGCCACAAACGGGCCAACCGGCACCACCTTAACTGATGCTTACTATTATGCATCGGGTTTGGTATTCAGCATGTTTCTTACGATGGTGATGTACCACGCGACACAACTAGAAATCATTCACACAGGGATGAAGATACGAGTGGCATGCTGTTCGGCAATATTTTACAAGGTACATTTTCGCGTTTAACACACCATGGACGTGAAATAATTTAAACGATTTATACCTCCAACGCGCGGTATAGTATAGACTATAGTATACATAATGTAGATACACTATAGAGTGGTCTTCCTTATAACTTTTTTAATTAATTTTGTTAAAGACTCCTTAATAACATTACCAAAAACTTGGGTATGCCGAATGAAAATTCGTCGAAGAGAACACGTGCCGTATTTTACATGACATGAATAGGTGCCATAATATTTTATTTTAGTGGTATAAAATAAACATCGATTTTAATCGAAATTCGGTTAGATATTATTTACGTTGAGACCTAGACAAACATGGAAAAATGGTATTCTCACGTGTGTGAATATTGTTGAGAAGTTGAGTTAGTTACGAATTATTATTGATGGAGATCTTTAAATTTTACTTATAATTTAAAAATAGAATTTTTAAAAAATTAGCTTAACATTTTGGTATTATTAACATCATGTTTTAGAAAAACCACGTTATTAACTAATACAATTTTTCTTCTTTTATTTAGATCCTAAGGCAAATTATCATTTTAAATTTTGTTTGAATTTTTTAAATATATTGTTCAAATTTGGCAGACCCAAGTTTTTAAAGGTGATAAAGAAATAAAAGAGGTACGCGGTTCAAAAATAATATTGGAAACTACCTTGAAATGGAAACTATGTTCTTAAGTAGTGTATGCTCTCTTCTTGTGGTGCGTGTGTTACGCTTTATATATCAGTTATTATTACATGTGGGTAGCAGTAACAATGATTCTTGTAAATTACTACTATTAAGTGACTTTGCTCGAATTCGAGATAAGACTTTAAAAAGCTGAATAAAATAACGAAAAATATAGAATTTTACAAAAAAGAATCTTTATTTTAGATTTTTAAACACCTTATGAACACTAAAAAATTTTTACATAAATCGATCCAAATAATAAAATATTTTTAAAAAAATTTAAATTCGACCCTTTATTTATTCAGTTATGTTAGATGTAGCCCTAACTCTTTTTGTACACTATCTATGACAATTTTGAAAAAAAATCACCAATTTATAATATGGTTTAACCTAAGCTAAGTGTCAACATTTTGATACGATTATATGTATAAAAACATAAATAAATCAAATTATATAACTTAATGTAAGTACAGACTAACAGTTATTTCAAACAAATAATTCGAAGCCAAATTTACTGTGTTACTTATTTTAGTTATTATAAATACTCTAAGTCATACAAATTAGAAATTTAAGTGAAGATTGTTCTTGTGAAATATTGTTGTTATAACAATTTCTATTTCTATCTCAATTTTTTTTTTTAATGTATTTGACTCTATTGATACTGTCGAGCAAACATATTATTGTTTGTATTATTTGGAACATACAAACTTTAAATTATTAATTTTATATTTCATTTTTTCTTACATTTACGTCTCTTCATGAACCTTCCGTTAAGTACTCGTAAAAATTACAATCAATAATAATTAAAGATAATTGTCGACCATCAAATAGTTAACCATCGATTGGATCAATATCCGAAGGCCTTCGGTTTATTGTATAGCTTTATTTTTAATTAAACTTGATGTCTATGTATTATAATATGTTAGACGTTTAAAATTTCATTTAAGTATATATCCAAGTGTACACGCTTAGACTACACGACAAATGTTTATTGCCAATAAATTGTATCAATAATGCAAAGCACTCAAGTGTATTATTGTAGCGTGTAATATTTTCACACCAATTACAATAAATGATATATTTTTTAATTACAGTGTACAATATTTACTTACTGATAATAGTAATATCGTTTTCACGGGTAAATCGATCATTCGAAGATAATAAGTTTATGTAATTTATGTCTTGTAATATGTACCTATATTGTTTCTAATTTTTCCTATGCATACAACAAACTTTATTTTTAGTCCATACATACATTTTTTAGTTGGAACCCTGCAAATTGGGTTTAAATAAGTAAAAAAATACTCTAATTTTTTTAAAAAAAATCCTAAAACTCATTTTGAGTCTCTGTTAAAGATAGAAGTTTGACATAAACGCATTTATAGTCACAGACGATTTTTCCATGAATTTTTTTTTTTATATAAAATCATGATTTTTTTTGCTCGTATGTTAACAATGATAGTTAAGTAATAATAATCAGATAAAATTTATTTTTTAAGATATTTACAAAACCTTTATTTACTTTGTAAAATTAACTTATTTATTTTTAAGAATTATTAGTAGAAAAAAGCCTAATATCATAATTATTTGTATAATAGTTAGCGAAAGCTTAATTTCTATGTTTTACAATATAATTAATTAAAATAAAGTTTTTTCTGAAGGAAAATTCACGAAATATTATTATTTTTCAAGTTATGAATCTGTTATCTGACAATAAATGTGACGTTTTTCTGAACTGTGAAATTATTATAGTTACAAGGTCAATTGATTGGAAATGGTAATAAGTAGTTAAATTTTGTAATATGGGCTGAGAAAACTTATCAACCAAAAAGAAAAGCGAACATTTTTAAAAACTAATTTTTTTTTTTCACATTTTGAATTAACAACCAAATGTATATATGAGTACATAAGTCTAAATTTAATTAAATAGTAATTTTGTAATTTATATGTTTCGTTAAATTATTATTATTGTTATTGTTTCGTAGGGGTAGTGAGTAATAAATATATATAAAAAGTATTACTGCAAATATTAAAGCATGCTCGTTTGTTTTGTGCTTTCTTTATTTTATAATTTAACTAATACAATATTATACTTAACAAGTAGCTTTCTTGCATGCGTTTGAATAATAAATATATTAACTTTAACCTTTTTACTTTTGATTGTCACGGGAAGAGTGTATTTATTTTTCAACATTAACTCGGTATAATGTTAACGGATTGTAGCATTCGGAATATTGCAAAAGAAATGTAGCATTTTTGCATATATCATTTATGGGTATGCACGCGTGTGTGTGTAATAAACTATTTGTCATGTTTAAATATAGGCTCTTCGGTTGAGTAAAACTGCTCTGGGCGAGACCACAGTCGGTCAAGTAGTGAATCTGCTGTCGAACGACGTCAACCGTTTCGACATTGCTGTGATATTTCTCCATTATTTGTGGATTGGACCGTTGGAAACGATCTTGGTGACTTATTTCTTATGGCAAGAAGTGGGCGTGTCTTCTATATTCGGAGTGGCCGTGTTGCTCTTGTCGATTCCGCTACAAGGTTTGCAATAATAATAATTTTGAAACCTTTTGCACAACAAAAACGATTATGAAAATTAGTGCAGTCAAAAATATGTAAGGCTTAGGTATACCTCGGACGACGACGATACAGTAGAAGACTTGAACTTACATCATGTCTATATGATAATTAATACGTTCATATATGATTTTTCTGAAACTAACCCTTGTTTTACCTCAAAAACGGCATGTGTGACGTCCTCTTAATAAAAATGTTTTTTTAAGTCATTCCGACCAAAAAAATATGTATATTAAAGCTTGCTAAAAATAATTAAGAACAAAAACAATAAATTCTTAATAATAACGGGAAAAATATTGAAACTATATAGTACTCGTTAATATTAATGGGAATTACCTGTAGAGTTAATTTTTATTAAAATTGAAATTTTCATTTAACATCATGATAATAACGAAATAAATTATTAACAATTTTTATTTTTAAGTATTTTTTACAAGTTGGGCAAAATTTTAAAAAAATGTTCCCGTCGTCATTTAGAATTTATTATTTTTGTTCTCACGTTATTCTTTAGCCAGCTCAAATCTTAACGTACATATGTTTTGCCTAAAAGACACACAGTTATTTAATTAATAAAAAATGTATTGATTTACTTAAAAAAACTTAAGTTACACGTAAACATTAAAAAAATCGTACATTTCAAAATGTACGAATATCATGGAAACATCCCATAAGGTTTTACCGTCGTCCAAGGTTTTTGATTTTTTTTTTTTACTAATTTTACTTTCTTTTATAATACGAACCTAGTCAATAAAACGTATTTTTGTTCCTCTGTTACCTTTAAAAGGTTGGATGGGCAAAAAGACGTCGGAGTACCGAATGAAGACGGCCATTAGAACTGACGAGAGGGTCCGTCTTATGAACGAAATCATAAGTGGCATACAAGTGATCAAAATGTACACGTGGGAAAAGCCTTTCGCTTACCTCGTCGAGTACGCCAGAAAGTGAGTCGCCACGAAAGTAAAAATTCTATACCGTGTAAATGTTAACTTCTTGTATTTTTTTTTTTTTTTTTTTGTTTCACAGAAAAGAAATAAAACAAATCAGAGGCGCCTCGTACATCAGGGCCATACTCTTGTCTTTCATTGTATTTCACACCAGAATAGCGTTGTTCGTCAGCATACTCAGTTACGTACTGCTTGGAAACTACATCACTGCCCAAAAAGTATACACAAAATCACATTCAGTGTTATAATCGCAGAAGCTGAGATTATTACTGTGTAAAATAGCTGACCACTTCCCAATTCCCCCAACCCACGTTTTAGAAACTCCAATTTTCAGGACTTTGAAAATCACAAACCAAAAAACGCTTTTTAAAAATTTAGGTTTTTGGATTTTAAAAAATTTGGAATTAAAGATTTGATACAATCTGCTCACCCGACCCAAACCCCTAACGTCTTCTCTGCATAAATGTCTGGCTTGTCTATCCATCTGTTCGTCAGTTGTTTGTATACAATTCTGGCAAGTTTAACTGATAGCGATTAAATTTGATACCTACTTACCCTAATGAATTACTTATTAGTAATTAAGTTTTTAGTAATTGGTAATTAATTACATTTTCAATTAGAAATTCGTTTTTAAATATTTGTAGACTGTAAAAGTTTAGATGAGTAAAAAGTATAAAATATCTTAAGTATTCAATAGCTATAAAAAGTTTACATTCAGAGTTTTAATGAGATGAGGGTTGGAAGCTGGTATCTATATTTATTGTACAGTAGTATTATAAAACCACATTGTATAGTTTAGAATCAATACCAAAATACATGCATTTTTTTGGGATTCTTTCGCTGAATTCGAATTTACGACACAATTAGTTGACTTTTATAATTATCGTCCCAAAATTTGACTAACATTATTATAGGGGAGTTTAATTACTGATCACCTTTAAAGCTTCCCCGCAACTTGAGGTATTGTGAAAGCAATCAATTTTTGTGGGTACTATTCTAAAACTCGTATTGATACCTGATTTCTTTCTTCCTCCTCTGACAATAGCCAATGAAAACACATTACTATGAGATCTGCAGTCTGTACAAAAAATCGATTGTTGAACGTTTTAAAACCTAAATAAAATTCTAGGTATTCGTCATTACTTCTTACTACAACATATTGCGGACAACCATGACTGTGTTCTTTCCACAAGGTATCGGTCAAATTGCCGAAATGCTGATATCAATTAAGCGGCTTCAGGTAATGCACAACACAAACCGTAAATGGATTAAGAATTTATGTAAGGTTTTTTAGTGTTATGAAAATGTTCTTTATAGAATTTCCTCATGTATGAGGAAAAAGACAACCAGGTGGCCAATCTTTCTAAAGCAGACAAGGCTAGAACCAACGGCGTAAGAAAACCCATAGTGATCAACCATGAAAACCATGAAAACAAGCAGACCGAAGATATAAGCGATACTGAATTGGGTATAGTGGTATCCAACGTGACGGCCAAGTGGACGGACGCTCAGATAGAGAACTCTTTAGAAAACATTAACCTGACCGTCATACCTGGACGGTTGGTGGCCATAATCGGACCAGTGGGAGCCGGAAAAGTGAGTCACTGGAAGTAAGTTTTCTACAGATACATACTTACAGTGTTGGTTTTTCACAGAGCTCTTTGTTACAAGCCATTTTGCGAGAACTGCCGCTTTCTAATGGTGAAATCTCTGTCAATGGTGTCATATCGTATGCGTCTCAAGAGCCATGGCTGTTTGCTGGATCGGTACAGCAAAACATTCTGTTTGGTTTACCAATGAATAAAGAACGGTACAAAAAAGTAAGTGCTTTCATTGCACAACTTATCCATTTAATAATAACCCAAAAGACAAACGTCTCTATATTTTAAATTTGTAGGTCGTTAAAGTGTGTGCATTAAAAAAAGATTTTGAACAATTCCCGTACGGCGACAGAACGATTGTCGGCGATAGAGGAGTTTCGCTGAGTGGAGGACAAAGAGCCAGAATAAACTTAGCTAGGTATTAATATCCATTCCGCTAGTGTTGAACCAGTCAGTTATAAAGGAAAAATAGCTGCCAAAAATCCCAACCAAATTTTTTTTTTATTACCATAATTTATATATTTTTAAAAAAAACTAAATTTTAACTATTTTTATTTAATATTAACCATAATAAAATAAATATTATTGTACCTGAAATTAAAATTATAGTATATATAAAAAAAGTGATTGAAACATAATGCAAAATCATAAACGTATTTAGTATATTGTTCACTGAAACTGGTTACAAATATTTTCTAACATGTTTATTGTCATTTTAAATCACCTCCTAAAAAAAGTGAATTTTGGTCTTGTTCCAAAAAAAAGTCAAAGTTTACGATTTATTCAACGTTTAACTTATAATCTCATAAACATAATGTTTTTTTTATATGACTAATTTTATACTGATTTTATGGTAGCATTATTGATTTAAAACAAAAACTAAAAAACTCCTTTTTTAGAAAATTTAATTTGTATCGACTTTTGTTTGAAATTTTTCTGAATTTTCAAAATATTTTTAAGGTATTCAATAAATTGAACTTTCAACAGCTTTTGAAAAAGTTGTATCATTTCAGTTTATAGTATATTAGCATGGTATATTACTACACAATTCCAACCTAGTTTTTAAAAAAAAAAATTGTTGGCAGGGGTTTTTCAGCTATTTCCTAAATTGTAGTTTCTATTGACAGACCTATGTATTTGAAGTAGCCTGTACGTTTTAAATGTATTATATATTTTTTATCATACTTAGAGCCGTTTACAAACAAGCCGATATTTACCTGATGGATGATCCATTGTCGGCTGTCGATACTCATGTAGGCAAACACTTGTTCGAAAAGTGTATTAAAGGTAATAGTTAATTGATGTGTATGGGTAAAAATATATAATATTTTATCTTTTCATAGGATTCTTAAAAGAAAAAACGTGTATACTCATTACTCATCAATTACAATATTTGACTAGCGTCGATCAAATTATACTTATGAAAAGTGTAAGTCGGTTAAATCCATTACGTTATCACTCGGTCGTATAATAATGTACCTAAATTGTTGTCCTAGGGTAATGTGTTAACTGAAGGCTCTTATCAAGAACTCCAAGCATCAGGATTAGATTTTACAAAACTTCTTGGTACTTCGGAAGAAATCAAAGTAGTATCCGACAGTGAAGACAATGAAAAAAGTAGTATCAACAATGTGCTAAATGTCAACACGAAATTATCTCGACAAATATCGGTTCAGAGTGTTGCGTCATCTATTGAAGAGAGTAAAATAAATGGTGCTCAACCCATTGAAGTGGACGAGAGCCGGTCTTCCGGAAACATTTCGCTGGAAGTTTATTCTTCGTATTTTTCTGCCGGTGGTAATTGTTATAAAATAGGTTTTTTCCTCTTCATGTGTGTGCTAACGCAAGTTTTAGCGTCCGGCGGAGATTATTGGATCACTTATTGGTACTTAATTTACATTATTTAATCATGCACTGATAGGCAAGTGCCAAGAATAAGATAATTAATTTGTTTTCCTTCATTAGGGTTAACTTGGAGGAACACGTTTTCCGTTCGACGCCCCTTTCGAGTGCAACAGGTAACGGGACCTTTGCCGATACTATGAGTGAGGATACATCGTTAAGTGGGTGGTTGTTGAGCCGAAAGACCTGTATAATCGTATTTTCCACGCTCACATTATTAATGATCGTGGCCACTCTTATCAGATCAGCTACGTTTGTTTCGGTCTGTATGAGCGCTTCGATAAATTTACACAATCGCATGTTCAACTCCATCACAAGAGCCACTATGTATTTCTTCAATACAAATTCATCAGGTATAATTCTAAATACAATAAATATTACTTATATTCCGTACTAGACAACCCAAATAGAAAATGTACTAGTTATAAAATCTACGGTTTTAGGGAGAATTCTTAATCGCTTCTCAAAAGATATGGGCTCCATCGACGAACTGTTACCAGTCGCATTGATGGATTGCATACAAGTATGTTAATTCTTTACTCTAAATTTTAATATTTGAAAAATTAAATTGTGTACCGGTATTGGGAAAGGGCTGATTTTGGCTATTCTAGTTTACAAGATTTGGATAATTTTGCATGTTAGGATTGAAATTATTGATTTTTAGTTTTCGTTTTAACCATTTATATGGATACCTATATCGCTTTGAATCAATGCTAATAGATGATCAAGAGACATTTTTTCTGTTTTGAACTTTAAACTTGTTTTTCTCATAACAAATATTTATGCATTTTCAAATTTAACATACGCAGTACTTCAAATTTTTATACCATCAAGCTCATATTAAACTTAAAATAAGGGGTATTTCATATAATAGTTTACTTTCAAAAGTCATATCAACAGATAGGGCACTTTTCTGATACTGGAACACATATTATACCAAATCGGATAATTTTTTTTTCATTTAGATTGGCTTGACTCTACTTGGTATCATCATTGTCGTCGGAATCGTTAATGTTTATCTTATGATACCTACTTTTATTGTGGCAATTATATTTTATAAATTGAGAGTATTTTATTTGGCGACTTCCAGAAGCGTTAAACGATTGGAGGGAGTTAGTAAGCATTGAAAATTATTTTTTATACTGTGGTCTGCTCTTAATACTAGTTTTTAGTCCACCTTGTTGTTCATTCTGTATTGTGTTTTTATATTTTATTTATTATCATAGCTAGAAGTCCTGTCTTTGCACATTTGAATGCATCTCTACAAGGGTTAACAACGATCCGTGCATTCGAAGCGGAACAAATACTTTCTAAAGAATTCGACAATCATCAAGTGTGTTGAGCTTAAACAAGACTGTAAACTGCTGCAAAAGGGCTTAAACTACATTTATTAGTAGGGCCTCATTTATTACTAATGTCGCTTATACCCTTTTGCAGCATTGTCATTAATGTCTTATAAGTTTTATTTAATTCAATTTCCTTTAATTTTGTTAAAAATTTTAGGATTTGCATTCATCGGCTTGGTATTTGTTTATATCGACGAGTAGAGCATTTGGCTTTTGGCTGGATGTAGTTTGCTTAGTCTATATAAGTATTGTCACGTTTAGTTTCCTAATGATAGGAAATGGTTAGTTAACAATATAATTTAATTTATAATTCTCAACAAGTCGTATCCATAATTTTTTTTTTTACGCTCATTGTTTTCGTTACAGATATATATGGAGGTAACGTCGGTCTGGCTATAACTCAGGCTATCGGATTGACTGGTATGTTCCAATGGGGAATGAGACAATCCGCAGAGTTGGAAAATCAAATGACATCTGTCGAAAGAGTGTTGGAGTATACCAACACTCCGAAAGAAGCTGATTTAGAATCTACTCCAGGTATTATTTTCAAATAATAAACATTGTAGAAAAATAATTAATTGGTTTTACTTTTTTATTAAATTAGACAAAAAACCACCAAAGGACTGGCCTAACAGGGGACAAGTCACCTTTAAAGAATTGTACCTACGTTATGGTCCAGACACTCCGGACGTGCTTAAAGATCTAAACGTTAACATCAAACCAATGGAAAAAGTATGATAACTGTGTAGTTATATATTTGATGGTGATATATATATTGCTATAAAATGGTTGTGTTTTTTCTTAGGTTGGCATTGTCGGAAGAACCGGTGCCGGAAAAACATCATTAATTAGTGCTCTGTTTCGATTGGCTATCAACAAAGGATATATCATCATTGACAATATAGACATACACGAACTCGGGTTGCACGACTTACGTTCTAAGATATCTATCATTCCTCAAGAGCCGGTGCTATTTTCGGGTACAATGCGAAAAAATTTGGATCCGTTTGACGAGTACTCAGATCACGTTCTTTGGAGTGCTTTAGAAGAAGTAACTATAACTTAAAAAGTATCAAATTAAGCATACATTTTTATTTTTATTGTTTCTAGGTTGAACTTAAAGACGCAATTGAAGATTTACCAGGAGGATTAAACTCGAAGATGTCCGAAGGCGGATCAAACTTCAGTGTTGGTCAACGACAGTTAGTCTGTTTAGCCAGGGCTATAGTGAGAAATAATAAAGTTTTAGTGCTAGATGAAGCAACGGCTAATGTTGATCCGCAGTGAGTAAAAACAGTGATGTCATTGTCAAACTTGGGCAATTACTATTTAAATAACAAATAATAATTTGAAAATAATGATTTAGTTGAAACATGTATTTATTAACATTATTATTTATAAATAAATTATTTGTTATACTATTTATAACTTCAAATAATATTTTATATAAATATATTTTCATTAGACTATTTCAAAAACCTGTTATTTAAAATAATTATTTATATAATCTTTATAATATTTTTATGTTATTATTTGAACTTTTATTTAAATATTTTAATATGAATATGCCAATAAATTCAGAGCCATGTAAGAAAACATTCAGCACCGTTTGTATGACGTTTATGTATGGCATATAACAACATTATTCTAATACACATTTATTTAATTAAAACGTTTAAATAAAAATATTTTAACTCAATTAATATATATATTTTAATACAAGAGAAAACAATTATAGAAAATCTCTCTCTCTCTCTCTTACGTTTAACGTCTGTTATTCCCACCGACCGGGACAATTAAAGAAAATAATTTTTTAAATAAAAATACAACTATTATATTTAAAATAACAAATACTTATTTGAAAAAATCAAAAAAAATGTATTTTAACAACATATTATTTGAAGTTTTAAATAAGTAATTATTGATTTCAATTAAAAAGTGATTTTTGTGTACTAAAAATAAAATGTATCCTGAATAATTCATTACTTGAAAATCATTATTTGTTATTTATAATGAAAATTGCTTAAGTCTGCTACAAACAAAATAATATATAAGAGTTATTATATTTTTTTTAGGACCGACGCTTTAATTCAAAATACTATTAGAAATAAATTCCAAAATTGCACAGTATTGACCATCGCTCACCGTTTAAATACCGTCATGGATTCAGATAAGGTGCTAGTCATGGATGGAGGAAAAATGGTCGAATTTGATCATCCATATATCTTGCTGAACAACAACGAAGGATACCTTTACAAAATGGTCGAACAAACTGGATCGGCTACAGCTGATGTATTACATAGTGTCGCTACCGAGGTAATATGATTTATTAAGTTTTTTCAATTCATGGCTATAATTTTTTTCTTTAATGTGGTCAAATAAATTGTTTTTTTTTTTTTATTACTTGTAGAACTACAGAAAAATGCAGGCCACAAGAGAGTCGCCAATCAGATTAATCGACGAAGATACTGAAGAAGAAAATAGAAAAAATAAATGAATTCTTAGTGGTACATCAAAGTTATTTCCAATGACAACTTGCCTTTTTAAATGAATACAGTTTTTTTTAGGTCTGTTGACCTAAGTGTTAAAATAAAATTGTTGTTGATTATAACAATTGTTGTTTTATGTCTTAAATTAAGTTTAAATAAATCAAACATGTACTTATGTTTTATAAAATTACGCTTTACCATTTAATTGAAGTGCCTTTTATTCTATAAAACTTAAATAAAAACACCTTACATTTATAATTATACAGATTGATTGTCTCGTTGTTAAAAGTAGTATCGGCTAAATGCATGCTTTCGAGTAAAATAATGATACTTGTCCTTATACATATCTGCCTTGTATTTTTTCCATTGCTGCCACTTTTTACCATAGCTTGGATTATTATCTATATACTAAAAACTCATACGAATAAGTCATAATTTATTGTATCTGTTGAACTATGTTAAGTAAAAAAAAAAAATGTAGAATTAAGTAGAAAATGTATGCATTTGCTATATTAAATTATACATATATATTTTCAAAACAAACCATTAGAGCATAGCAATTTAATTAAAATGATATACCTACCACTTTATTTTTTCTCCTTTGTACTGAATTATATATTTTACACAACCAGGTGTGCATTTATGTGGGGAAGGAAGACGGTGAAAGCAATTCCTTCCCTTCCTCCTTACGCTAGCCCCTAATGGCTAGGGTAAAGTCACAGCTCAAAAGGTAAAAATATAAAAAAATAGCAGCTCTTAATAAGAACGTATCACCGGCTAAAACGTTTGGGAGCACCTTAAAGGTTACACAGAAAGAGAATAAAAAATATTTAAACAAATAATTGAATGCTAAAAAATAGGATGGTGCCAATTTCGACGTAAATGAAGAAAACTAAAAGATTTTTGTCTACAACGTGGTGTCCTGCGTCACTGTTGAAATTTGAAAAATATTACCGCTCGTTCTGCGTTTTTTCCATGTCGGTAAGACGGGAGTATAAGCACAGAATAAGGTTTTGTGGTATAAGGCCGGGGTTATATCTGATAGCGGAGAAATGTGTGCAGTGTAGCTCCATTAAATTAACATTATAATAATAATATGTTAACGCCACAGGGCGCATGACGTTGGCATCACATACGTCGACTGTCGAGTTGTGTCAGTGTTCTCACGAACAGATGAACTCGTCGCCATTTTCGCCGCTTTTCCTTATTGATAAAAAAAAACTTGACCGGATATAGAACTGCTTTAGAGCTGCTGTGGGTTAAAATTTTAACATTAATAATTACCTTTAAAACGTATTTTACCGTCGTTAATGATATCAAAAACAGTGTAATAGCAGTAATAATTTTTGTGTTGCCATAAAATTCGAGGTAAGTGATAGTATTTTGCACAGATATCTTTTTTTTGAAAAGGATTAAATTTTTTTTCTTACCTTTACACTGATAGAGACTTACTGTATATAGTATGTAATTTATAATTGACGGAAAAAAACAAAGTCCTCTTTACAGGTTATCAAAAAAATAATAATTATCTCTTTTATCGAAGTAATTGCCCATAGCGAATAAAATCGATTGAATAATAAACAAATTACAATAATATACTCAAATCGGTGATTGTCTTGTCAACTTCAACTTTATAATCAAGTTGACTAGTCTATCGTAAATAATTGCAACGATTAATATTGAGTGTCAGTTCTGATTTGTGGTATTATACCTAAAAATATTCAATTGATTTCTAATGTTCCATTCATATTTGCATTGAGGACGACAGTCATTAATTAAGAACTCATTTTATAGCAATCCTCGGACAGGATTACATTGAAATTCATTATTGCTTTATGGTAATTTCTCAAATAAACTTTATTATTATTATTATTATTGAATTAAGGCTACGATGAGTATTTTTCTTCACTTTCATATAATAACTGGTAACACTGCAAGTTCTCGGCGTCATCCAAAAACATAAAAAAATAATAATAATGATAAACTGATTACGATTTACGATTACTGGAAACTGGAAAGCGAAATATTAGTTAATCGTATAGTGTTTAAATATCTAATTTAATAGTTCTGAAAAAGTTCAAACTTGGAATTTTAACGTTTTCTTTGTTTGTGTTGTATTAGCTAGGTTGAAAATGGATAATATTCAGCAAAACTCCAATGGTTCGAATTTCAATGATTTTAATGATGTTAATTTGACTATACGAATCTTATTTCATGGCCGAGTAAGATACCTATTTACTTTATAATATGTTAAATAAGTGTACAATTTTTCATATTATGTATTTATTAGGAAGTTGGAAATGTCATCGGCAAAGGAGGTGAAACAGTTAAAAACATTAGAGATCAGGTAATTTGAACAAATCATTTATACCTAATTCTATCATCAACGTTGGCAGTGTCCATGTCAACTCAGTTTTTAACACATTGCCCGCCGGCAGCGTCACAAATATAGTTATCTAACACTGAATATTAGACCATAGGCTGCAGCAACAATCTTTTTTTTTTTTTGAGGCCTTACAGTCTCCGGCAGCCATATATCTCATTATATTGTAATATGAAATATTTTTGTTAATGTTTTATACAATTGGATCATTTGTCAGGAGAAAAAAACTGTATATTATTTACCTTAGAAAGGTGATGCAAAATTGTATTTTAAAATTTAGTATACTATTATTTGACAGTCGAAATAAAATTATTTCATTATTATAATATGTCCAGACAATAACAAATATTTGAGTTTTGGAACGGTATGTTTACAACATAACTTTTGGTACGTTTTTCAAAGGTCAGTCATATTTTATTGACAACATTATTATAATAATAAACTGTGCTGCCTTCAACGGCTGTTTGGTGGTCAACGTAATAAAAGAACATCATACCAATATAATCTTATGACACTTTTTTTTAAATATTATATTTGTTCAATTTAGTCCGGTGCTAGAGTTTTAATATCTGATGGTTCAACTCCAGAGCGTATAGTTACAATCACAGGAACTACTAATGCTATTTGTAAAGCCACAGAACTTATTGGACTCAAAGTGGAAGAGGTCAGTTGTCATTGTCATTAATTATTATTATTTTAATTAGTAATCTTATTGTTTAAAAAATAGTTTTTTGAAAGACAAAATGGAGATTGGAATGGTCCAAAAGCACCTTTGACATTCAAATTGATAGTGCCGGCCTCGCAGTGTGGTTTTATTATTGGTAAAGGTGGATGTAAAATAAAAGAAATCAGAGAATCGAGTGGAGCCGCTATACAGGTAGCTTCTGATATGTTGCCCAATTCAACTGAGCGCCTAGTTTCAATTACTGGCACAACAGGAACGATTTCTCAATGTGTTTATCAAGTGTGCAATGTTCTATTAGATGTAAGTACGCTATTGATAATGACTTGAAAAACGAAAAAATATTTTGTATATTAAATTACGTTTCATAATTTGGTGGTGGAAAGGTTAAATCGGTTTAGTCATCAAACAGTGGCATGTTTTGAATAATTTGTTATCTAGATGATGAAGCAATAAATAAAAAAACAATTATTTATTTATTTATTATTTGATTATTTATGAATAATAATTTATTATGTGTCAGTACATTTATTTTGAATTATTAATATATATTTTTATTCATTATCATTTGTTGGAGTGTCTAAATAATAATAAAATAAACAATAATTATAAAAAGCTCAATACGATAACTAATGACATTTTAAGTCTGAGCAATCGATATTCTCAATAAATTGTTATTTCAACATAATAAGTACATATTTCAATTTTTTTATTTACTTGTGAAGTTTTTTTATGACATTTATTTAAGGGCCTTTTTTTGTTTTGCTATGCATCTTTTATCTCAAAGTATAAATATAGGAAAGGTGTTTCTCCAAAAATTATTTATTCAAAACTGGTAATCATCCTGTCTATATTTTTAGAAAAATGACTTGGTAAAAAAAAACAATATTGGTATTTTTTGATAATATGAATTTTTATTATATCTCTAAAAAATAAAATATTTATAGTCTTTAATTTAATAAAATATTTATAAAAGACAAAAATTAAAATGGAATGTTCCTGACGAATTAATTCATTTGGTAGATCCTCTTAGTACGCCCTATGTTTCAAATATGTCTTCATTGAGTAGTCATAATAAAATACCGATTTTAGCAAAAGTGAGATTTTAACCATATATATAAGTTCACAAAAAAAATCTTGTATTGATAATCTATCAATGTTGAATATGTCTCTTATATCTAACAAATAAAAACCTTATTTGATGAAAAGTATATTTGAAGGTCAAACTACTTATTTATAGTGTATAAAAGTTACTCCTTAATGTATTTATGTTTAATTAAACAGTATATTAAGATTATGGTTTAAAAAAAAACGTTACTTAATCTATTTTTTTTAAATTCTTTTAGTCACCACCACGTAGTGCCACTATACCTTACGATCCACGTAGTAAAACTTCAGGTTTTGCAAACAATGCTGTTGGAAATGATGTAAGTAATAGTATAATAATTACTTTATGATAAATTAATAATTTATAATTTTTATGTTGTCAAATTTAAGTTTGGAAGGCAACGTACTAACCCTTTAGCTAGTCTTGCCGCCCTTGGGCTAGGGACTGCTTCGACCGGAGGTATAAATCCTGCTGGTAAGCATGAATTAATAGTTGTAATGCATTAACAAACAATAGTAATGAAAACAAAATTATTAATTTGTTTATCGGGTTTTTAGCTTTAGCTGCATTAGCAGGCAGTCAATTGAGAACAGGAAATCGTCATAATCGTAATAGTAGTGGAGATAGTAAAAATCAAAACTCAAATTTAAATAATGAAACTATTTCAATGACAGTACCTAATGATTTAATTGGTTGTGTAATCGGTAGAAGAGGAAGCAAAATAGCAGAAATTCGGTGAGTAATATCTATGTAACTAAAAATGTATGTTTATTTATCAATTAATCTTTTAATGTACTGCTAGTAGGAGAATTAGCATTTTAATTAAATCAGTTTTAACAATTGGTTTTGTATGTAAGTTCAGTGATGTAGTATGGTATATCCATCAACCACTTTTTTATTTATAAGTACATGTGCATACTGCATACATTGAAAAGTGGGAGGTGAGTACACACAGTGTAAGCCATTACGACTACATCACTGTATAAATTTGTTAAATATATTAATAATTGTATTTAGTAAATATTAGGTTTATAAAATGATAAACTTTTGTTAAATGTAGACAAATAAGTGGAGCGTTAGTGCATATTGCTAAAGGTGAAGGTACACATGAAAATGGTGAAAACGAAGATCGGCATATTACCATAACTGGAAACAAAGACTCTATATCGGTGGCAAAGTACTTAATTGAAATGAGGTAATACTCTTCTCATATAACAACTGTTATTGTTGGGATCATAGTCGATATGTTGAGTCCTAGTGTTGCCATGTGATCCCTCGTAATGTATTTTGTGTCCTTTTTTTTTCACTAATCCCGATTTCTTCTTTAGCGTGGAACTGCAGAAAGCCAATCTTGAGGGGGCAAACTCATCCTCTAGTCCTGATGATGGGTCCAGCTCAACCTTGCCCAGTCCTCCGACGGTGGCCGCATCTCCTTTGTCGTCCGCCATCCCACTGGCTCAACTGTTCGCCAAGCCGGGCGCAATAAATGCTCTCTCCAGCTTATCTGCTCTTGGTGGCTTAACCGACCTCCTGGGAGCCTTATCCGGCGCCACTCAATCCCCTCCAATACAGACCACGGGTGTTCATCGCCCGAAAAATTATTTCCAGCGAAACCGCAGCCCTTCTGGCGACAAAACTAAAGCAGACAGGACCAAGTTTGCTCCTTACTGAATACTTATTTATTGATCCCGCATCCACAAATTATTGTCGTTCATTATAGTTTTTAATCCTATTCATCTTCATTTCTTTATTATAAGTATTTTTTTTTTTTTTTTGTTATTTAACTTAATTAAAAATGCAACAATTTTTCCACTTTTGAAAGCCCGGAAAATATTTCTATTTTATTTGTCATCCATTTGTCTGTTTTTATTAAATATAACTTTTGTTTTAAAGAGTTGAATCAACTTAAATTTTAATAATTACCTTATAAATTTGTCCTTAACGGGTCAAAATACTTTGCATTAAGGTTTTGGTAAATTATTTTTAATTAAAATATTGTATTGTGTCCAATTTATTTTATTTCACTTTTTAGTTATAGAGTGTTTCCAATCACTACATAGTCTATATCTTAATTCTTACATAATTTTGTAGTTCTTAATGAATAATATAATATCTTGTATTCCTTAGAAAAAAAATCATATTTTTTATTATTGTTTTTCCTTTAAAACCCATTCTTACAAATGCAGTCCAAGGAATATATTAAATAAGTATCGGCATAAGCCACAGCAGCAAGAACATCTCTAAATCAATGATAAAGAGGGACTGTGGAGAAATGTATGTCTAGTGAATATTGTAGTTGCTTTACGTTTTCAAATTTCACCAACTATTTTAGTTATAAAATTATCCAAGTTTTATACATCAAAACTTACGAACATAAAAATAAATGTGAATGCAAGTTGTAGATTTTCGAGTGGTTTTTATGTTTATTTAAAATGACCTAATTTTTTTTTGAATTTGGCTTTAAGAAAAAATATCTTTTAATTGGTAAAATTCCTTTAAACACAAACGAACACCCTTGTCTTTTTTATAGCGTAGTGACAGATCTAAAAAAAAAATGTTCAAAACATTAGCCAAATTAGTCTTAAATCTAACATTGATAAAGTATATTAATTGTCTTACCTTACAATTTTTTTAATATTAACCTAAATACAAAAAATTACTATGATATAATATTTTTTTTTAGTTTACCATAAACGTTATGTTGAATTATAGTCTGGTAAATATTCTTTATCCGAAAAAAGTTTAAACAAGTTTTTTAAAACATGTCTTTGTTCTTGTAAATTGATTAAAAGTTTGTATTTCTATTACACTTATTGAAAAATCAAAATATTTGCACTCTTTTTGAATATATATGAAATCAATAAACATGAGTAATTAACTTTCCTTATAATCAAATAGATGTACCTTTTATATTTTTATTTCTTGTACATGTTGGGTAAATAAAAAAATAAGTTTTACAAATTAATATATTATTTTTAAATTTGTTTTTTTCTTTTTAGAGTTCCTTCATAACATTTCAATGTTACTTGTTTTGTGTAATATTATGGTTATTTTTTTTATTCAATTACTGTGATACATTTAAACATTTTTTTTTTTAAGTAAATTGGATATCCTAATAATTTTAGTATTATATAATCGCTTATTTACATTTATTTTTTAGAAGCTAATGAGATGTGTCCTGTTGAATATGGCTTATGTAAGTATCTGAATTATAAATTATGAATAATCTGTCCAGTTAAACAATATCACGTCTTTCCAAGAAAATTTAAAATATTTGTATCTTGTCAAGAAAAAATACATTTCACTTTTCAGTATATAATTAATTTAAAAAATTATCTTTGTACTTTATTGGTGCAGTTACAATATAAAACTAGCTGAACAATATTATATATAAGTAACATTTAAAAATTTTCTTTAACATCATAACAGATAATTTTTTTATATTTATGTAATAAGAGTTACTAACATTTTTAGCAATTCATTTGTTTTTCAGGTTTATTCCTAACATTGTACACTATGAAAATCAACTCTAATTAAAATGAAAATTCTAAAGGTTCTATTTTTACTAGACTGGATACACAAAAATGGGTTCATTTGAAGTTCTCTCGATGAAACTACTGGTAATCTTTTTATTTTGTACATAGGTGCATATAATATTTTAAATTTATAATACGTAAATAAAACGTTATTGGTTAGTGCGGTTATTTTTGATACAGAAACCGACAACTGTGTAAAAATACCTACTACTGTTTTAATTTTATAACTATATATATAAATATAATTATACATTTTTTATACTACAAAATCAATTCTAGTTGCTACTATTGAAATAATTTTAAAATAATATCTTGCATTTTAGTATAAATTAATCACTTCAAAAACGGTGGCAAAAAAAGTTGTCCATTCAATATAAAAACCCAGGTGGCAGATGGATTTATAAGATGTCAACACTTTTCATATCAGTTATAGATGAAATAACTGAGTAATTAATAAACGCGGTTTATTTACAGAAAATGGACAACTAAACATATGACCATGAAGACTAGAACAAGGAGACCTAACTCTGTTTATCGGGTATCATTCAAAAATGAGTCACATGATTAATTGCTCACCAGAATGTGGGCGGATGGGTAGCTAATTTTTACATGTTCTTATTCATTTGTTTAAATTGATTATAACATGGAAAGCAATAAAAATATGAAAACCTTTTTTTTATTACAATATTTTATGTAATATTATAATTATTATTTTATAATTTAAGTTTAACAATATAATAATTATCAATATTAAATATGCAATCTAAAAACAATTATTAGAGAATGAGTGTTCCAAAATAATTATAAAAGTTAAATATTTATGATATTTTGCAACTTAAAACTTTTTGAAACGACTATTTAATTCAATAATTACTTATTGTAATTTTGATACTTATCTGGTTTTTTTTAGTAATTTGTTTTTTTGTTTGTTGTATTTCATATATTTTATACAAAAATTAACTATATACAACTGTATAAATTATAGTTGCATCTTTTTACAATAAAATGTATTCTCATGATTAAAAAAAAAATTGTATTATATTATTCGTAATTATTTTTTTAAGTATAAAGTCGACTTAAACAAAGTGTCTGATAGATGATCATGTAGCCTTTTGGATTACAACACTTTTTAAACTTTCAAGACATAAATGAAAAGTTGTAAACCTATTTCCTTTTTACACTATATCCCAGAAAAATGGAAAAAAACTATACTTGAAGTATTGGAAACACTCTAATCATGGTCATGAATAGCTGTAATTACATCTGGTAACTCTTCACATTTTCCTTGGTCTAAAATAGTATCTTGAGCATTTTCTACTTTCCCTTTACGATCTCTCAGATCTGTTATGTCTTAAATATTTAGTAGAGTGCCCAACATTTCTCTACCTGAGATATTTGAGCCTCGAGGAGGCTTCACTAAAATGAGTATGTGCTTGGTAATTGAAACATATATATACAAATAAAATTGCATCAGGGTGCATTATCTAATCATTTCAAAAAATCTCTAAAAGTGTATTAATTTAGATTATTTTAATATTTAACTAAGTAGTTAACAATAATTAGTGAATTTTTTTAATTTATTTTAGGAACTCACTTATAATGCATCAAACAAAACCTTAAAAAAAAATGCTTAAAACCCCTAGATACCGACCGTTTTTTTCAGCTAAAACACATCATTTTTTGTCCATCGCACAGACCGAACCAGTGATCTAAAAACAGATATCAATTCGTCATGAAGTTTACTTGAGATCGGTCAGAGTATTTTTTTTAATTGTAACCCTTTCCAAATTTTATTTTAAAGTTTGAAATTTTATAAAATGTTCAAACGTGTTTTATCCGTAGTAGGAAGAAGATATCAAAAAAGTACGCTGACCGATCTCAAGTAAACTTCATGAAAAATTCAAATCTGTTTTCAGATTACCTTTCGATTACTGGTTCAGTTTGTGCGATGAACAAAAAATGTACTGTTATATTAACTAAAATGGCTTTTACTCATAGACAAAATTATTTAAATTCTTTTTTTCTTATTCCATTTGTAAATTTGTCATTTTGCTATTAAATTCAGTCAAGTTAATTAGTAGACCCTTGTACTACATTTAATCAAGTTCGAGCGAGATTAGTTTAATATTCAAGATAATTATTTATATTGTTAGTGATCAACCAATTTTTAGTTTATAATTATTTATAGAAATTAATAACGTTGTACAGCTTTAAACTACTCTTATGTTCCAAAATATTATTATATTTATTTTTATCAATATGTCCTAGTTTTTTCTTAATGCAAAAAGATGAAATAAAAAAGTATTTACATTTACTGTTTAATGTTTACAAACAATTTATTCAAGATGATGAAGTTTAATATTGATAACGTTTGTAACAACGTTATCAATAAAATTAATAATATCAATAAATAAATAGTATTATATTGTATATATAGTATAATATAACCATGGAAATTACTTAAATCAACATTAATTATCGGCATATTCTTAGTTATCACTAATCAAAGAATTATTTTAATGGTTAATGGCATTATTTATATTAATGTAGGCAAAACATTGTGATTTGTTATTAACATTTAACTGCGCCATTAATATAAAATTGCGCGTTGGCAATTGGCACAACTTCTGATAAACAGATTCTCCTATTATTTTGTTTGAGTTTTATTATTTTGCTATAATGTTGTCGAGAAATACTGTATAAGTTATAACGTGCAAAGCCGTGTAATAATTGTTATAAGGTAATTAAAAGAAGATGTCTTACGCTACTAAAATATATGTTATATATACACCTGTCGTATCCGGTTAAATGTTTAAGCCAACAGAATTATTTAAAACTAAAAAGCTACAGAAGTAATATTTTATGTACAATTTATTATAGTATAGAGTAATTATATTATAATGATTGCTTATATAGGTGTGTTATAAATGGATTAATTAAAGCATTCAATTAAATTAATTTTAGTTGCGGCAAATTGGTTATTTTTGAAATATTTATGTTAATACATGTCAACTATGGAAAGTTTTATGGAATCACCTGAAGTAAGTTATTAATTTAAAATAATTACTTGTTCATTGTTTTATATTTTGTCAAAAAAATCATCAAACAAAGTAAGTTGTTTTAAAAAATAAAGAAGTCAGGTTCGGTGATATTCTGTTCAACACATACGAGTACAATATAAGACCTACTTAATGGAACTATTGATTTAAAAATGTTTAACAGTTTTCAATAAACTAATAGACAACATTAATTGAACATACACAAGAAAAACCACGGCATAAACTTATATAATAATCCATTTAGATAACTGTACCCCAAAAATGTATGGTTTAAGATGATGCCATGTACACCACATTTTTAGAGATTAGGCATTTTTTTTTGGAAATTTTAAATCTCAAGTCATTTTAAATCTATGCAGATAAGTTGTTACCTATGACCTTTCGCCAGTACAAAGTGGTAGTGTATACAAATTCTTTGTATACAAATAATTATGATAAATAATAAATTTGAAGTACAATGTTTGTCTCCTAGACATTAAGACTTAGTTTACTACTGTTCATTTGTTTATTTTCTCTACCTTCTACAATTACCACTCATTTTTATTTTGTACAATTTTTTAGAAAGAACATCAACTTAAAACTCGGTTAGAACAATTACAATACGAATACTTCAATGGACGCCCCGAGTGGACTACTGTTTCTTTAGGTGATCTGAATTTGTATATTGCATATACATATTTCGGAACACCTTTTCGAAATGATGATCAAATGGAAGAAAATGTCTTGGAATCTTTCAATGGAACATGTGATATTTTTACTCAATACTCAAATGAAGAACAAGATCATATAAATAAAATTGTTGAAGTAATTAAAAACAATATTATTAAAGATCAGTTGCAATTTACTGAAATTGAAATCGGAGCAACGCTTGTGCATAGTATTTGTAAAATTAAATGTGAAGATTGTAAGGATTTTCCGGAAAAAGATATTCATACTTGGTGTTTATTAAGAATAAAAATAAATAAATCTATAACTTCTTATATTGATGTTTCATTCAGTAGATCGTATGATGATTGGAAAAATTATTTAGAATATAATACATTACCCGACGGATATATATTTTATCCAAAATCTGGCATTTACAATGAAGCAGATTACTTGGAACAAGGTTATACACCAGCGGCCAGTACACATACCAAAGTATTAAACACCGTTGATGTTGTGGGGAGAGTCACTTCATTTGTATCTGGTGCGTTAATGGTAGGCGGATTATTTGTTCCCGTTATGGCACCTGTTTTATTACCAGCGGCTGCTGTAGCAGCTGGATCTTCCGCGTGGGATGCTGGGAGGCAAATTAACAGTTTGGTCGATAGAGGACAACACAACCAATCTTTATCTGACGCCGAAGCGGGAAAACATTGGCTAAATCTAACAATTTCAACATTAGGAGTTATTACCGCTCCACTGACTGCTGGAGTTAAAACATTAGAACTGAGTGGTTCTTCTATTATAGCGTCAAAGTATGGCAAAACCCTATTGATGTTGAAAGATGGAGCTTGTATTACACAATGTTCATTAAGCATTATTGGATTAACAACCGACATTATAAGTGGTGTAACAATGAAAAAATTGTTAAATAGCATTCTTACGTATCTACGATTAGACGTTTTTGTTGTTACGGGAATGTTTTTATCCTTACCAATCATACGAACAATTTATCAAGTAAGTTAAATTTTGTATACATTTTTTAAGCTTCGATGCCGAACTGAGAAGGTATTGGTTTTACAATGATATGTTTTAATTTTTTTCCGCTATTATATTTCATGGTTTCTTCGTGTAGCAAGTCTATATATTTAAAAACGCTGTTCGTTTATATTATTCAATGTTTCATAAAATACTTAAAAATGTACTTGTTTAAAAATACTAGTTACTTAATAGTTCCTTAATTAATTGAATGATATTGTTAGTCTGTTGCAGAATGTTTTCCATGCTCAAGTAACATGTTATATCAAAATATCTTCAGCGAAAAGACTATACCCTTTTTTTTAATCACAAAATTTTTCAAAGGAGCTGTTCGTTATGCAAAGAGATATTTTGATTATTTTTACAAATGTATAATTAAGTTCATGACACAAGAAATTACTATTGAGAAACTTATTTATGCATGGAAAGATATCATAAAGTTCTACACTATGTACAAAGAGCAGATTAAGAGTATCGCGCCACCTGATTACTTAGAATATGCTTTGGCTCATATGAGTTTGGGACTTTCAGTGGCTGGAGATATTGATGCTGCAAAAATTATACTTGGCGGCAGAAAAATGAAAAAATTGCTTTCTCAGATACCAGAACGGTATATGGACCAAAAAATGGTCATATTTAGTATTAAACAAGTTGTGAAAAAGGCCAATGAATTGATGAGTCAGTTAGATGATACCGTCCAAGAATGCATGATAAGGGGCGAAACCGACTGTCACAAGATTACAAAAATGTTTTGTTTGGAATACAAAATCAAAGAATGTTGTTTGACGGAATACTTGTTGTATGGTATTAGAGAACTTAGAAAAGATGTGTCGAACCTTGTTAACGAGTATTTAGTTTACAAAAGCATCAACCATGAATATTTTAGAATTGATTGTGAACCGTTCACTGACAAATTTAAAATGTTTGAAATGCCGTCGCCCACTGAAGTCTTGGATAAAGATATTTGTATGGAATTGGCACAAGAATTAAATCCTCAAGAAGATGCTTACAACTTGTATGAGTTTAAATTGGTGGAAACCACTATGTCCATGTTATACATGAATTCCACTGATTACAATAAATATGTATTTTTTAAACTACAGAAAATCGAAGAAAACTCAAACGTTTGTATTTCATTTATTAAAATTGCTAATTCTCAATACACCTAGAAAAATAGATTAGACAATAACTTTGTATTAATAATAAGTATGATGTAAAAGCTTTATTTTGTCACATATATTCTTTTAGTGATAAACTATTATTTGTTTATGATTTAATTTCTAACAATAATGATTTTTTGAGGTATGTTTCTGTTTAAATTTAATATATAAACTACTCAATAAAATTATATGCTTAAGTTTAGAACACTAATTTAATTTTAATTGCATTATTATTAAAAAATAAGAATATGCTGTCACAAACAAATATATTTTACTTTATCAATGGAGAATTTTTGTTTTTAAATATAACTAACGTTACAATGATTTATAGTCTATTAACTGTTAGAGCATTTTTTGCTTAAAGAATAAAATATATATAATAATATTTTTATATGATTATATTTAAATTAATGTGCACAATAAAATAATGTATAACAATATATTATATTTTGAATTAGATATTTATGTTGATAAAAACTTGAGTTCTGTGCACTTTATTTCATTGAACTTTGACGTTGGTTTAGTTATTTATTCGGCACTTTATAATTTATAAATAACAATAAACCAACAAAATAACAGTATTATATTTATGCTTGAACAGCAATTGTTAATATTGAAACATTTTACTGGAAAAAAATCAACAGTACTTGTAGCATAAAACACTTATAAGTTATAATGAGTAAAATTTCCATTTTTTTTTGTTTATTAACCATAAATGTTGGTGAAGTATTATTCAGTATATTTTTTAAATGAGTATTAAGTTAAACGGAGGTATTATTTTCTATTAGGTTTAGGCTTTCATAATTGTTTTTGATACTTGGTATATAATTCTAAATATAATTATTAATTATTTATCGAGTTGGATGGATTAACTATTCAAAATTTGAAATATGCACAAAAATTGTTGATAATTAAAATTGAATGTCACTGACTTGAATTTGATCGATTTTTTCCTATAAATTAGGAGCTAAATACTTTTTTTAATAAACAGTTATTATTGTTCTACCTACGCAATTGCAAATTTTATTTAAAATAAGTATAGTAAACTCAACGCAATTAGATCTTTTTTTTTTAACAAGAACCAAAATATATTAATTTTATATGATTTGGTTTTGCTGAGTCCGAATTAGGCTCTAGAATACTAATTCCAGTTATTTAAATTGCTTCCAAAATTTTAAAACGGGCACTTCATTTTGCAGGATGTTTTGAACGTCAATACAAATAATTTTCAATTTTAGTTATTGCTAAATTCAGAACTAGCTTTAGAATTAATGTAGAATTTTATAGTTTTCTTAATTCTTGAACATAAAGGGAAATTCTTGTACTAATCACGATGTTCGATGTACATAAATTGAATAATACATTTAGATTTTAATAAAAAACTACTACGCTGTACGTAGTCCAAGTCATAACAATGTACGCGTATACACAACTAGATCACATTGTTTTCGGCCGGCTGTTCGTAGTTAGATAATATCATTGAATATTTGGAGGTTATATGGTGGTACCACTGTCACCACAAATATAATAATATTATGGCAAATTTTTTATATCACTGATAAGAGTGATGACCTACAAAAATATTTACAATTTAGTATAATATTATTTAATTTTAATTTGATTTTAGTATTTTACAATACACTACTCACTGGTCTCTGCGTTTTCGGGCGGACAACGAAATTCGTATGTATAATCCGTGTTAGAACCAACAGGATAATTAGTTCATGAACTATAGCGTGGTTCGTGAATCGTGGAAGGTCGTTTGCCTTTAGGTAAATAAAATCGTCTATAGGAAATTGGAATGTACCAACAGTAAGCGAAAACCAAATATTGTAATTGTTTATAAAGTAGCCATTATTAAAGCCATTGATAAATTTAGTCATTCTTAAATCCGGTTGATGTTATTTTGTTACTTTTATCATCATTTCACTTTTTTGCTATTGCTATCATGACAAAATAAATCTATTTTGTCATGATTGCTATTAACGAGCAGTGTTGTTTTTTTAAAACGTTTCTTTAAAAAAGGAATGTGTTCTCTACTTTATCGCTCCTATAGTACAGAAAAAAACTAGTTACTACCTTTTTAGATGCTTGTTCTGCCTATTTAAACCCTTTATAAATACTATTCCCTAATTATTATTTAATATGGTTTTCATAGTAAATATTTTTAAAATTATATTAAAAATGATTATTATTTCAGGTATCTGCTAAAGAATTTGATGATCTAATAACTTGTCTGTAGGATAAATCATTTATTGCCTACAAAAATGTATAACATAACTAGTATTTTGGAGTATAGAAACGTAAGTATTTTTTTAAAAATGATTTTTCTTAAGACTGTTATTAAATGTTATTATTAGTGTATTCTACAAGTTCATATTTCTGCAGATTGCTTTTATCAATTTTCTTATATAATTATAACAATTTATGCTATTCTTGAATTAAATACTGTTTTTACTAACTATTTATCATGAAAAAAAACTAATAAGTATGTCGAACATTTTCTAAAATTAGCATAAAAAAAATTGTTTATATATATATATATATATTGTTTTTTTTAAATAAATAATCAACAGCTGCTAAGTTGTACAAACCAAGTAATTTTTTTATGATTTTATAACAGTGTTAAATTAAATTTTTAGGTAGAAGGTCAGCAGCTAAAAGTTAAACTCGAAGGAACACAATATGAATATTTCAATGGGCGCCCTGACTGGACAACTATTACGTTGGGGGATTTAAATATGTTCATTGCGTATACTTATCTCGGATCGCCCTTTCAAAACAATGACGAGATCAATGAAGAATTATTGGAATCTATTAATGGAAGCAGTGAATTGTTCAATCAATACACTGATAATCAGAAACAACACATTTTGAAAATTTCCAGAACTATCAAAAACGTCATTGTCAAGGATCAATGTGACTCAATTACAATTGATGTTGGAAAAACAATTGTATTTTATATTTGCAAAGAAAAATATGAGAATTGGAAAATATTTTTTGAAAAAGACATTCAACAATCGGATATATTGAGAATAAGAATTAATAAATCACAAACATTCTATTATGATTTAAAAGCCAATAGATTGTATAAAAGTTGGGGAAAGTATTTGGAAAATAATACTTTACCCGAAGGATATATGTTTTACCCAATGTCAGGCATTTACAATGAAGCATGTTACTTGCAAAGAAAATTAACTCCGTCTAGTAATGTAACAAAAAAAATACTGAACGGTTTGGATGTTGTAGGTAAAGTATCCTCAGTTACATCATGTGCCTTGTTAGTGGGTGGCATATTTGTTCCCGTTATGGCACCTGTTTTATTACCAGCGGCTGCTGTAGCAGCTGGATCTTCCGCGTGGGATGCTGGGAGGCAAATTAACAGTTTGGTCGATAGAGGACAACACAACCAATCTTTATCTGACGCCGAAGCGGGAAAACATTGGCTAAATCTAACAATTTCAACATTAGGAGTTATTACCGCTCCACTGACTGCTGGAGTTAAAACACTTGAACTGAGCGGTTCATCAATTATTGCATCAAAGTTTGGGAAACCCCTATTAATGTTAAAAAACGGGGCTTGTATTACTCAATGCTCATTAAATATTATCGGTATAACATCTGATGTTGTATACAGTGTTAAGAAGAAAAAATTATGGCTTAAAATGCTTTCGTACCTACAACTGGATCTATTCGATGTCACGGGAAAATGGATGTCATGGTCAACAGTTAAAAATATTTTTGATGTAAGATTTTATATTTGTCCCTTTATAGGTTTAGTTTTTAGAGTTGAATAATCTATTAATTCAGTTATAACATATTATTATAACTTTAATTCAAACTTGAGCCCTTTTAAATTTTCAGTAACAAATAATTATTTAAAAACAATGGGTTTGTTTCAAATAATTGATTGTTTATAATTCAAATCATTTTATTAAAGTACTTCTTTTTTATTCTTTCAAATAACCTATTGTTTTAAATAGAAATGTGTTAATCTTTATTATTATAAATTTTATTTAAATAGTTTTTTGATTTAAATTAGTTTAAAAAAATGCATTTTTATTTGGATATTTGTTCAAATAAAAATTACATTTGTTTTAAACGTTTAACAATGTCCAGATTTGTTTTAAGATAATAATAGTTTTGATGGTTTTTAGATTCTCGCAAAAGGTTATCAGAATTCCAGAAAGATATGTCAGGATTTTAACTGCAATATAGATCGATTACTCTTTTTTTATTTCATGAAGTATGTTAAAGGTGATTTAAGTTTCAACATGGAAAACTTTTACAAATGCGTGTGGAAGTTTTTGAAAAAACAACTTACCTATGAAAACCTTATGTTAGTGTGGAAACATCTTCCAAAATATTATAAAAAAAAACCAATGGATAGAATGAGCACTTCGATCACTGACGGATCAGTTGCTAACACAATTGATGACTTAGAAAGAACTTTATGTAATATGGATTTGGGCTTAACTGATATTAACATTATAGAAAATGCGAAAACTATACTTGGTGGATGCAAGATGAAAGAATTGCTTTCACAAATACCAGAACAGTATATGGACCAAAAAATGGTCATATTTAGTATTCAACAAGTTGTAAAAAAAGCCAATGAATTGGCGTGCCAGTTAAACGATGTTGTGCAAGAATGCATAATGCATGGTAAGACTGACTGTCATGCCATTAATAAAATGTTTTGTTTGGAATACAAAATCAAAGAATGTTGTTTGACGGAATACTTGTTGTATGGTATTAGAGAACTTAGAAAAGATGTGTCGAACCTTGTTAACGAGTATTTAGTTTACAAAAGCAACAACTATGAAAATTTTAGAATTGATTGTGAACCGTTCACTGACAAATTTAAAATGTTTGAAATGCCGTCGCCTACTGAAGTCTTGGATAAAAATATTTGTATGGAATTGGCACAAGAATTTGATCCACAAGAGGGTGCATATATTGGTTACCAGTATAAATCTTTTGAAAACCACGGGTTTGTGTTATATAGTCTTAAAAAATGTGTATTGTTCGATGTTCGCAAAAGCAATGACAACACGACTGTTTGTATTTGTTTTGTTGAATAGAAAGCTAATCAACAACTTTAATAATAACCGAAAAAATTAACATTTTGTGCATGTACATAAACAACAGTTGAACAAATAATATTGTTAATAAGTTTTGTATTTTTAATTACTAATGTACTACACAAAATTTTAATTTTAAATGCAATATTATTTTAATATGTATTTTCCTCCGCTTTTATTTAAAATTAAAAAATTGGTGGATATAAATTACAACCTTAGATCTGTTCTTTTATATTTTTTACAATTTCTCTGAATTTATATTAACTTATCGAAGGCAGTCTTATTTTCTTTAAAACTAAGAACCAATTATAATTCGACAATTTGTGATATATTTTTAATTTACAATAATAGTTTTGCATATTATGTTGTACTTCAATCTCTTATAAATTAATAATATTATTAGTTGCTTAATTTTTATTCATTTATTTTTATTACAATAAAGTTAAATCGTTCTTTGTTTTGTTTATTTTTTGACATATTTGCTTAGATGTTAAGCTGAGAAGGTGCTAATTTTTTTTTTTTATTATGTATTCGAGTTATAACTATCGTTAAAAAATATTAAGCATAGACTTATTAAGTTTCGATGCAAATCTAAATATAACAGTGATGATTTGTATTTACTTTTTATTTATTTTATATATATACTTTTTTTTTGAGTAGACCCTTGAATGTGCAATTTTTTCTAATATATATTTTTTTACCCAACAACTTATTATTGATGTTTAATTTTTTTAAATGCTTACTAACATAATATATGTTAAGTCTCATGTGTTGTGGTGCTAATTCTAATCAATAAATTGTGTATCCAAAGTACCTTTTTTAGGTTACATATCATTCTAAGTGATTTTTTATAATAAATGTTTATTTTAGCGAATAAAATTTATCTTATTATTATATAATTAATATTTTGTATAACTAAAATTTTTTATGATAAATGTACATTTTATTGTACAATAAAAAAAATCCTGAATAATAGGAACTAAGAAATATAACATTGGCGATTATAAGCAATTTTTAATAAAGAAAAGTACTTAACTAAAAAATTGAGTCATATCATTATGTAAACATACTATATAAAACTAGTTATCGATCAGTCAACATTTTCAGAAAATCATTCTTTATTTAAAAAGTTATTAAAATATATACATTACCATTTAAGTTTCAAAAGTTGATAAAACTCTAGAAAATACTAAAAAAGATAAAAATTTGAATATATCTAGTATTGTAATATGGCATAAACAAAAATGTTTTCAAAAAGAAAACTAAAATATTGTATTTATTTTAAGAGTAAACTAGGATAGGACAATAAAAGAAACATCCGGTCTATATATATTCCCAACAAAAACCTAACAGTGAAAAAAGTCCAAGTTTCAGAACCTTCCCAAAAATATCAGCCTATCAAAGTAAGTAGTGATTTCTACATTGTAGCCAACATATATCTATATATATATATATAGACATCATTAATAGAACAGTATTTTACCAACATTTTTGGATTCACTGTACCTGTTAGAACTATTATAAAATCCAAAAAGAAGTGGGTTCTTTATCTATAACTATATGCACAAAACAACTAATAAAACATTTCTACAAAACTAACCTAAACGCTTTTAACGCAATTGAGCAGAAACTTTTTCTAGTCAAAAGCCTTAAAAAAATAGCATATAAGATCCTTATGAATAATTGCCTTTACGAAACCCCTTAAAAATTAATATTAATAATAATAATATTAATATTAATTATTTATAATATTATAATATTATAAATTAATATTTAGGCAAAGCGTCCTTTTGAGTTTCTTCGTAATTTTTTTTCAAATACTAATTGTCATACTGCGACGATTGACTTTCCATTTATAGACTCTGTGTGTTGTAGACTCATTCTTCTAAACAAAAAAACTACTATAAATTAGTGTATTTTAGCTTCTATGGGATAGCTGAGAAGGTATTTGTTTAAAGTTTAAAATGATGTTTTGTTTATGAATTCATATATTTTTTTCCTGTAGATGGATTTAGTCGCGTAGCAAATCTATAGATCCGAAATTGTATGCGATTTGGAACTTTTGATGGATCAGAAGTAAAAAAGTACACCAATTCCCTTTAAAAAAATCGAGAAAAAACACATAAAATTTACATATTTGTCAACATAAAAGTACGGCCCTCTATAACTTATTTAAAAGTAACGAAATTAGTTCCGAATTTGTATGGAATATTCATTATACATAGTATTACAGATAAACTTTGACAAACCAAACAAATATCAAACACCCTTACCCCTATAAAGGGTGAAACTTTTTTCTTGATTTCGCTTTGTTAGGTGAAGTTTTAGGGATTAAGGTCTGAAAATTAGTCCAAAGATAGATCTAGAATGGGGCTATAAAATATACAATTTTCTCAATTTTTTTTTAATAAGAAAAAAAAAAAATTACTCTTTGACCGTAATACATTTCTAGGTTGCTTTGAGCGAGTGAATCATAGTTAAAATATTTTTTACCGTTCAATCATAGTGTTCAATACATAACATTTGTACTTTTTTTTTATAACTTTGCTTATTATAATTTTATTTAAATTTTGTTATGACTTTAGTTATAGCTGGAAAGGTAAAATATTTTCACGGTAATTTTGGTATATTAATTTTATACTTTCCTATTTGGGCTATGGTTCCTGAGAAAATACATATTTTGCTCTAATCCATCCCTCCCCAAATATAATCTCGATTCTGTTAATCAATTTAAATATTTATCCCCCTCCAGTCGAATCACAGGCATCAAGAATCTAATAAAAGTTAAACTTAAATGGTACATTGACCTAGTGGTGATTGATGCGATACATTTTTGTTATTAACTGTGAAGTGTGCACTATGGTGTCGGCATTGACATAAAAAAGACAGTGTGTACGGAACAGTAAGTTGTAATTAAAAGTCTTAAATATAATTTTTTTCACCTTAATTGTTGGAACATTATTCATGACACTGAGATAAAATACGATTATCTGAATTCGGCTCTAGATCACAGGCGTTACCTACTTCGGGCAAGTAATAATATACAAATTACTTATAAGTATAGCAAGTCAGTGGTGTCCGCCCCATCACACGGACGTATGCGTTCACTTTAGGCTCTTCTAGTGAACGTTTGAATATTTTTACATTAATTTTGTATAGTGGCCCGTAGATGTCTTAATAATGAAATATATAGCAGGTGAGAGTAAATGACTGATTTATTAGTGCTGAGGAACTTAACATGCAATGAAGCATTACTCCTAATTGTATTCAATTATAATTTTTAAATTGATGTATGAATAGGTAGCTAAAATTATTATATTAAGTTTTATTAAAAATAAAATACTTGGCGGCTAAGATCAAGTAACTTTTTAATAAAATTATGACAACTGATACAATACATAAAAGTTTGAAGCTATATCCTAATTCTGATTCTAGACACGTCTCTGTTAAATGTTAGAATTTTAGTTGAACTTTTCAATTTATAACATTTTTTGATAATTTATTTTAAACTGTTGAAACTCAAGGACGGATTAATAAATAATAATGAAAATCTAGTTAAATAAAAATCCAGATCTGTAATTGACACATTGATTAACGATATCCTGAGCTGATATTAAAAAGATATTAATATGAGAAGTTAGTTTTTTGGGCCTGTGAGCTATTTACAATTTTAGCACCACAAGAAATAAATTTAGGTACATCTATACCAACACGCGGTAGCTAACTACAGATTCCTTAACTTCTAACTGGACTTAGTTTAAAATGTGTCTGATGAGCTTAGGGACTACATGGTAAATTTATTTGTTTCTGAAGATATATATTTAGTTGTTTATGTCCATCGAGTGACTTAGTTTTTCCTGCTTTGTCCTTCTCGTTTGAACAATTTACAGACGACTAATCGTTATACAAGTTACAATTATTAGGTAGACGAATAATAACATATTTGATATTAACAAATATTTAAGACGATGTACATGCACATTAAAATATTATAACCTATCGCTATTAGAGAAAACGGTCATACCTAACGTGTTTTAAAACTCCAATCAAATTACATGTTTTTTTACTTTTTTTTTAGTCGGCGCCAAGGCAGCGGTTAATAAGTTCATCTTCTCCAGCAGACATTAATTTTAATCCAAAAATACACCTAACCTTGGAAACAACGTTTCGATTTCTTCTTGAAAAAATTCCTCATTACAATAATATTATATTTGTAGGAAAATAATTGGATATATTTTTTTTCATTAATGTTTTGACGTTAGTGTAGGTTTATTCGTAACCCGAAAGACCCCTGGGTAGGTCGTCTCTTCGGAATGAATGACCGATAACAACGGATTTATACAGGTTCACACGACATGTAGACTGTGCGTGTTATTATAATTTTTTTTATGCATTACACATAAATAAATATAATATAGAACATATAATTGAAATCGACGGGGCACAATGGTTTTGAGCGTGTACTTGTTTTATGTGTTATATAAATTACAATATTATTATGTGCGGTGGTGGGCGATGAAATGTTTCACGCGGGTTCCTCTCAACACAAACCATTAAGCGAGTACTTAAAAAAACAAATGGTTTTATACGTCTTATACGTGTATACATATTGTGTATTTTTATTGTACATACTGTACACATGATATTATAACCGCTGAGTACGTGTTACGCTACACTATTTAATAGAGATATATTTACTCGTTTTCCTATGGCGTTGTACGTACACGGTTATGCCCTCGTGTCACGTTAATAATGATACAAACGGCTTCGATGATTACCGACCCCGGGGATGTATACGGATATCTTACAAACGACCGTCTTACCGGCGGAATGGAGGGGCGGAGGCGGCAGAAGGGTTAGAGGCGAGGTCCGAGGAGTAAATGAAGTAAGTATAATATTATGATAATAACTTCCAGTCGTCGACGGCCGGCATAGGACACGGCTAGTGTTTCCTGACAATCAAAGTGCATCTCTCTCCCAACGCACCGAAACGACGATAATATTTTCATTTCGGGGGTTGACCCGTATCGGGAATGTAAATTACCATTATAACCATAGAACCAGTCTTGGATTAGTGGAAGTTTCTTCCCATTTTAAAATACAGTTATACCTGCGTAGCCATACACTCGTCGGGTTGAAACAATAAATTCCTGCGGATAGACATTATAGCTGGTATACATTTACACGACCGTTATGTAGGTACTGCACTGGATGTCGCCATCGAACCGTCGGTAAACATCAGACGGGTTTTATCATATTTTACACATCGTATACTATAAAGTACAGACTGCTATCATAAACTTATTTGAAAGTACAATTTTTTTTGTACACAACGATTACCGAAAGATAAGACGACATTTTTTCAATTTCATAATAGGTGGTTTTTGTTTGTGATGCTTAACTGAGAACTGAAAAGGTATTATTTAAAACTAGATAACCGATAGGTACTAATGAAAATGATAGAATGCGAAACTGGGGAAAATATGAAGAAAAACTTAAGTTTCATTTATCACTACACCGATTTGTTCACGTAAAAAGTCGCCACGAGTCCCAAATCGGAAATCCTACAGGAAAGGTGTACTTGCCCGAGCTGCACTTGGCCGCCAGACGTTGAAAAAGTTCCTCCCTGTCCCATTCAGAATAGCACTCTAAAAATGTACTTATTTGTTTATTTTAAAATACGGCACTCGATTGAATATATGTACATATGTAATGTTTTTTTTTTATATTTCAAGTGTTTTTTTATTGTATATTTTTCATATTTTTGTATTTTAGGACTTGAGAGTAGTTTAGAAAATTTGAATCTGAAAATCAGACTGATAGTAAATACAGTATAGATATCTGAAAAATATAAAAAATCTGAACGTATTAATATTTAGTAATTTGTTTAAATATGACGCGGAGCGGAGCAAAGAAAGATGTATTAGTTTTTAAATAATGAGTTTTTATGAGATCTATATATAAAGGTCGTTGAATAAAAATGTTAAAATTATATACTTCTCACAACAGCTTAATAATTTTGATTATATATTTGTACGTGTAGGTATTTAGACATTTAGTATAACTTCCATAAAACGATTTAGTTAGAGCTTAGAGGGTTAGTGGCTAGTGCCTTTCATTATAGTTTTTTTAAATGAAATTATTAAAATATTTTTTTTTTTAATATTTACTGTAAGTAAATTGTATAGTTAATCAGAATTCCTTAAAACCGTTGTATATTTTAAATACTCATAAATATTTTCGTTTTTTAGCATCGATATTAAAATAATTAAGATAAACACCAATGCCAAGTCGTTTTGACGTTATTAATTAATGGCATCGAGTTATTATATACAGGGTGATTTTTTTTATCATAGGCCAGTCAATATCTCACTGAGTAATTAATAATTGAATTTTTTTTTTCATAGTGTTTTTGTAAAATGTGATCTCCATTTTCCACAAATTATTGTGTTTCTACCCCGCCTCTACCCGGTGTTGTTACCTCGCCTCCAATTTATTGAATAACAAATAAAGAAAAAATTATTCTTTCTTAAAAAAATAATAATTGAATTATATAAATGATATTTAAAAACTTATTTTAATTAAAATTGCATTACACGATGACCAACTCTGGTCTAAATATACATTTTTAAAGTATTTATCTTCATTAAACAATAAATTTATATTTGTCGTAAATTATCCGAACATTACATTATCTCACTTTACACAATATTTAGTTGTTAAAAAGCCTCTGCTGACTGGATAAAAAAGGTCTACTGGTCCTAAAAATCGCTATTTCATCATGTTTAGTCAACTATGGTTGTGTAATTACATACAATTTTAATTGAGGCAAGTTGATACCACCTAGGTATTATATTGAATGTTAAGTTAATAATATTGACTTAAGAAAACATTTAGGATATTAACTTAATATGCTAAACATCGCCATATATTATAATATTAAATTAGATAAGACCAATAACAATGATTTAATTATGGTACTTCATTACTGTTAAGTTATTTTGTAATTAGTTCTGTTGAACAACAGATTAGTGGTTAAGTTCCTAGTCAAAAGGTATCCAGTTTTCTAAGATGTGTTATAATTTCTTTATTTTCTTCTAAGATTTGTAAATTTGTTCAGTTGTTTACAGAAATTTGTTCGGTGATTATTATTATTCTTATATGAAAATATGTAGAGCTTCTCATCAAAATAATTAATATATATTGTACAGTAGTCTACCGATTACGATATAGTGGGATATAAAATGAGATACTTGAATGCTACAACCGTTTTACCATTTTTTTATACAGCTAATTAAAATACATTTTTGATTTATAGTCAGATTGTCTTTACACATTATATAAAAATAACCGGTTTCTAGGCTATCGTTATTTACATATTTTCATACCACCAACTATTATTTTAACTGTTATGATTGGATTTTTGAACTAAATATTGTCATAGGACAAGTCCGAGGCTAGTAAATAATAATAAAATGGTCCAGGAAAAATGTAGACCACTGACAATTATCGGCTTCTCATACTAAAACTTGATCGTTATCTTATCATACTAAATGTATTATATACTACAAAACTACATTAACTACATATTATTATCCACACATAACTTAACAATATTTCACACTATAGATGAGGAGTTGTATATTAGAGACAAGAGCGTTGTCTCAGAAAAACTTAGAAATTTCCATAATAAATGTGTAATTAAAAAAAAAGAAAATTAATTTACATATGAGGTCGGTATCTTTGTCATATGAACCAACAGACCCTAATAAACAACTACACGGATTTTAATCGAACCCGTTCCACCTAAAATAAATTTGTTATACTGACATTTTTCTAATGATGACTAAATCGGATATGATCGGCTTTCAATAGTAGTAAGTGTATAGACGAAATTTCTTACAAAAACTGTATTTATAAAAACAAGAAATAGAGGGTTTTTTGACCCGAATTACTTGATTTTTGCTTGTTTTTAACGACTGTGCATGATATTATTATTAAATGTATTATATATATACTCTCAACTCTCACTTGTTTAAATTGTCGTTATAGAATAAGAGTTGTGGTAGTCACACGACGCAACGTAAGTTCATTTAATTTTATTTTTGTAGGCAGTTATTAAAAACTTAATAAATATATGTAATATAACATCTACTTCCCCGGATTTTCAAGCTAAATATGTCATTCATAAAAAAAATTTCAATTAAACCTGTACTGTTTCAAATTAAAAAAAAATCTATATTTAATACTGTTTTCGAATAATTTCACAGGCCTCAATAAAATTACCTAATTTGCTTCTGCGCTTTCACTAAAAACAATATTATAATATTAATTGTAAGCGAATAAATGTATTAAAACTACTTGCGTAGCCTACTTGAGTTAAAATCAAATAAGTTTGATAAGTTTCTACTAAAACTAGGTTATAATTAATTTGACCTTGTTTTATTTACTTAGTAAATTTCACTTCTTATTATTAAAAAAAAAAATAAAATTACTTTTTATAGTAAGTATGCTGATAAATGGTTTTTGTAATATTAAAAACCACTGATATTTAGGATTTTTTAAGTTGCACCTGGTGCCTATTTTGCACATAATAATTATATCATATTGCACGTTGTATATTTTTCTCTACTATATTTTGGCATTACACAAAGTCGTCTCTGCGTTATTAGTTGAGATTACTGTATTAGTTTAACGGCTATTTTCTTTAGTTTTACATTTAAGTAATATAAATAATTGTTTAACAAAAGAAAATATACCAAAAGAAAGTTCTAAAAAAGGTTAAAATTAACTATAAACGATTTTTAAAACTAATTTATTTTTGGGATGTTATTTTGTGTATACTTATATGGAAATCCTTTAACGATAAATTATATTATTATATCTCATTTTCTTTTTTTACCGCTATACTATACCGTTTATTAGTATTTTCGAAACAGCTCCGTCGACCGTCATATTATAACATAATCATCAATTACTCGGCTAACCTCCTGTTACCAAATTCGGTTTACCAAATTATAAACGTTCATCCCATTAATGGTTTTGTAATTGAGGTAGCTCTTTCGTTTCCTCCTTGTAATAATAATGTGTAGTTTTCATTTTTTTATCATGAACCTCATTAATCTATCGAGAAGATCTTTTGATAACTGGTCGTTTAAAAATGTTCCAGTTTTTAGAATAAATTACATTGGTAAATTAGTTCACTTTGAAATTTTAAGAATAACTAAGAATAACGGACAGACATTTATAAAAACTATTAAATAAAATGTTAGGAAATTTCCATAAAACCCGTGAAAAAATAATAATCATAAGCTACTGTAGAATGTGCGGCGAAGAATTATCACGTCCATGTAATAGTCAATATAATATCACATACTGTGTTTAAATAGGTATCAAAAATGAATTTTAAACTATTTGTGCAAAATATATTTTTTTAAATGTTTACAATATTTTTGAAATATTAATTTTATATTTAACCGTTTGGGACTTGAAAAAATGGATAATATTTTTGTTTTCTTTCCGTTTTACATGAATGAGTTGGACGACCTTGACACTGATAAAAGCAGGGCCGAAATATAAGCTGTTTTTCCTATCGTGATTTACATATTATAATATTGTCTATATACTATAATATAAACCGACTATATTATAGTAGTACCAGTTATATGGCGTCTGTATACAACTAATTAACGTTTTGAAGTTTTTTCTGTGATAAGCAATGTGGTACCTGGAAAAAAACGTGTCAACTCACACTCAAACGACGGTTTCCCTAAACTGTATATATTTTGTATATGGAGTGTTATACATATGTTTATGTACAGTACAGTTATACATGTATGTATAATTGTATGACGTACCTACGTGCACGAGTCGAGTTTCCAATAAAGCAGATAAAAATGTTTTTTTTAACAATTCAGGAATGCGGTAGGACAAGGAAAGGTTTAGCCGAATAACACAAAACGACGAAAAGGGAGAGAGAGAATGGGAAAGAGAACGAGAGAAAAAAGGACCCTTATTATATTCATATATCTACACAGTTCATCGATCTTAATTTAATTCCTGTTTTTTTTTTTACCAAAGTAAATTATCTGTTTCGGTATTTTCTGTGTGAGTTCTTCTCCGTCGCCGTTTCACCGTATAAATGTACGTATGACGGGGGTAGGAGGCCTATCCTTTTTTTTTTGAGGCTATATAAAGGGTTGAACGTGTCTACAACTGGTCTTTGGGCAATATACTCACACAATGCACTCCAACAGCAAATACTCCGCCTCAGTGGTACGTACTTGGATCATACATACATTATATCAACCCATTAGTGGTGTTTGTATGGTTTTTTTTTTAAAGTATTACTATTTTTTGTGTTATATTTTATATTTTTGAATTACTCGCAGGCGATCTTAGTTCTCACCCTTTGCGTGCTGGACACACACCAAACAATTTTTTCCAAAAAGAAACCTGCACCCACAACCGTAGATGTCAACGGACAAGTAACAGCGTGAGTATTCGACGACCAATATTAACATTATTTATATAATTTACTCGATTATGGTTTAACTTAAACAAAAAAAATGTTGTTTATACTAAAAATTATTTAACAAAATCAGGGCTTTTAGAATTTTGGAAATCTTGGGTTAAAATGTTTTAAATAGCATTTTTAGGTAACAATAAAGTTAAGATTAACATAATATCTTTTTTTTTAATAAATAGATTTTGGTATTGTCAAAATTCTTAAAAATCCGATTTTTGCCCAACTCTTATTACACATATTACTTGGATTTGTTTTACAGTATCTGTTTTTGAAAATGAAACAAACGTTACACACATAAATTTTGCACATATGCTATTGTTATTTGCATTAAAAAACCTTTAACTATGATTTTTTAGGCCAATTCCACAAAAGGAACATTGGTGGCAGGTGAAATACATGGCAGAGCAATCGGGTGAGACTGCGGGGACAAGTCATGTTGCAGTGGCTGTGCCTTTGGCTAACTTACATCACAAAGTAATTTCAACATTTATTACAAATTATAATTATAGATAATTTAATGCGCTAAAACAACTACAGTCGATTGACATCGTATAGACACATAATTTTAAATAATTGAATTGAAAAAAACACTTACTCGTCGTTAGTGTAAAGGTTTAGTACCTGCTTGAAGTCAGTGTTAACTAAATAATCTAAATAAATGTTAATTTATTTAGATTTAAATAGCGTTTGTAAAATGTACATGCAATTAAATTAAAATAAATAGAACTATTATAACGAAATTAAACTTTTACTTAAAAAAAAACTGTTTATTATTTATATATTTAAACAAGTACTTTATGTGGTTTACATAAAATATATTACATTAGTTATGTAATATTGTATACATTTTTATTTGCGTATGATAAATAAATGTACATTTTTCAATAGAAACTAAAACAACTATTATAACTATATCATTATAAAAAAGCAATAAGTATCATAGTTAATTTCTCTTTGACACGGTGGATACTTAAAATTGCTATTATGTAATTTATGAGGTTTTAAATTTACCTATACTTTAATAAAAACTATTTCTCGTAGTGCGTACTTTATTATTTAAATTTTAAATTTTCTGAATTCTCAGATAATCATTTTCATTGTCATATGCACTTGCCAACCCTGGCAACTTGTCATACTTTTTTTGGTGATTCACGATAAGTTATATTGTACAAGTAGAAAATCGAATAAGACATTTTTTTTTCAAATAGTCACAGATAAATTACAAAGGAATTATACTGTATAACCAAATTACAAGTGTGTATTTAAGACCTGATATCGCATTTACCTTCTAACCCGGTGTTAAATTTTTGAATAGTGATATTAATTTCAAACGACTGTTGTACGGCAATAGCAGTTATAAGGAAATATTAAAAATAAGTTTGTTTTTGGAATTTCTTTCAATCATCTTTGTCCGGGTTGCTTTCGTTTTGCTACAAATCGATTTTATACTTCAAGTTTGCTGATATTTTTAGTATCAATATTTATTTTTTGGCAAACTAGAATTTATTTTCTTTCTTAAAACCGGAAATCTCAAATACGCATAGCCAATATGTATTTTTTTTATTTATGTTTGGCGATAAGTCGAAACATCGATTATTTTATTACTAAAAGTACAAATAACGAAACTAGAACTTAATTAAACTGTCATAAAAAATAAATCTTGTTTTAATGTAGATACCAGTATTTCTTGTACACAGAGGTAAACCAATACACTTAAGTACTTAAGCGTTTTTTTTTTTCGATGCACTTTGAGCAACTTTCACGACCGTTGTCCATATAACTGCTACTGTTGTATAACCAGCCTCATAATAATGAATGGGAAGTAGGACGTTCAATGGGTTCCATAGCAGGGGCGGGTTGGAGCAAATGGGTGTTTTGCCCTTAGACCTTTTACTGAAAGTAATAAAACTCAAAATCAACTAATTACGCCTCTAGTTATAGTATTCGATTTAAATGGTAAATAAATCTATTCGATTTTTTTAGCTTCTATATGTAATGTTGAGAAGGAATTAATTTTTTTTCTTCAAAATATAACTATTTTCAAAACGTTGACGAGCTTATGTGTTTAAAAAAAACATTAATGAATAGTCTCCCTCCTCATATGATACCATTTTTCTTTTGTTTCGTATAAATTGAATAATTACCTATTTTCTTATCGTGCTTTGTAAGATTCTAAATGTTTATTTAAAAAAAAATACTTATTTTAATAGGTATTACTCTTTTATTGTAACCGATTATTCTGTGAGTGTAATTTGTAAGCCACGCATGCCGTGAAAACCAAAAAAACATGAAAACTTAGTTATTTTTAGCGGTTTAAACGCTTAACGACCGGTATGTTATTATTTATTATTATTATAGACCCGCCATATAGTAAAATTGAAATACATTTTCATCTCGAAAGTGCTAAACAACAACAGGCAACAGCTTTAAGGTTTACTGTCAGTACTAATGCTTACTTCTTTTAGGTACAAATCGTATGTAAGATAATAATAGTGATTAAAGGCATGCAATTCTTTACGGTTGCGTGTACCCCGGAGAAGTGTAAAATAGTATAAATAGTAAGCGGTTATCGCGTCCAAACATCTTCAGAGGACACAATCCGATTGCGATCACATCGCTCACGTTTAAGTATAATATTATTTAGTTTGGCACGCGATGAAAACAGTTAATAATATAGATTTGACTTCGACGATTTTATCCATTGCGGTAGTCACCGAGATTTTAAAACTCAAGAAATACAATGTTTTTCATTTCTAATCTCCAGATGTTTTCTTAAGCACGCCTGGAATTTCAACCCCCCCCCCCCAATAATTTTACAAATTATTCGTTGTAACTTATAACGGGACTGCACTTCAAGCCAACACCAAACGGTGTAATCGAAAATTGTTCTGACCTTTTAGAAGACGCAAAATACACGGCAATTTAGAAATAGGTATAAATATTTTTAACTGTTTCGTTGAGGTTAAATAAAAAAAAATTTTTTTAAAAAATTATCTTTTAGTGAAACCTTAATTTAAAATTAAAACTATACTCTATAGTTTATTTGTATTAGCGAAAACTTGTTCTATAGCTATGTTTTAAGTAAAAAGTTCATCGATCACTTAAAAATTTAAACTAGTATTTAAAAAAAAAAAAATTCGTGTGGTTGACTTAAATGAAACAAACTTAAATAATCACAAATAATAAACACTTATGACAGCTATCATAACAATATTTATTTATTTATTGACGGAAAAAACTCCATTTACAAAATAATCTCTATATAAATACATTGTGATTTCAGTAATATAAAGATTTACATAAAAAGAGAAGAAAAAACTATAGCTAGTACAAATTAAAAATAAAATTCAATATTCATAAATATAAAACGTATAGTAACATAATTTTATAACACGTAATTTACAATCAACTAAATATTACTTCAGCAGTATTTCCTATGGCCTAGGGTATTAACAGGTGAAGTTATTAAATAACTCTTAGAAATATTATTTATTAAAAAACAGTCTTGATTTCTAGTAGATTTATTATTAATTCGAAAATTTAATTGTTTCAACAGATATGGACAATCTATGGAATTATTTAATAATTTAGATAAAAATGCATAGTGGAGGTAATCTCTTCTTTTATTTAATGATTCTAAATAAAAATATGATAATATACCATTATACTTAGTATGCCGTTGGCGTTCAACTTTGAATTTTAATGATAGAAAACGGAGAAAACGATTTTGAACTGCTTCGAGATTTTGAGTTATACACATTTTATCTTATATGTAAATATATATAAGCTCTTGTTTTTACTTTTGATGTAATAAAACATGTGTGGGCTTTGTCGTTCTCTTAAACATGTATAATAAAAACCAATAACTATTAAAAGCACGGTAAAGTTCCGATAAGGTTTTTACTGTATATCCGCAAAGGGAAAAGTAGTCAACAATACAAATTTATTATCGTTATTATAATCGTCTACAGCCTCGAGTTTAAGTCTTTGTCCAGGATTAGCATTGAAGGGTCTTAACGCTGACATTACAATACTATTCTCTGAATAAATTCGGTTCTGACAATTTGACCGAACAATATATCATCGTATTTATATGTAAAAAAACTAAAATATTTAATAAATATAACTAACACGCTACGCTGTGTATATTTAAGTATACATTCCAGAATTATTAATAAAAAACCACCTAACGACTGTTTTACAAGTATGGTAAGTGGCGGATTTGAGAGAGACGACAAAAAGCAACTGGCCCTACGTTATTTCTTTAACGGAGTATTTTCTATTGCTATCAAAAGCAGATTAGCGAATAAATAACAATTTAATAACTGTCTTTAGTATATGTTCATATAGAGTATTTATTTCCTGTAGAGAAATTCTAATGTTACATAAAAAACATCATATATATGTATACTTTATAGGTACTTAAACGCAATTATAATATATTTTCTGGTTATTTTTTATTTATAACAATTATTTGTAATTTCTAATACTAAAGCCACAGGCTGGTATAAGTCAGATTATGTCATGTGCATGTAAGTACCAATGTATATGTGAGTAGTTGAGCAAACATTAGACTCTCTCAGAGTTTTTTTTTTAAAAATTCAAATGTGAGACAAAGTTTTAGGAGGAGCTAAAGCCTTCTATAGTATCTATGATAAATGTATGACAATTAAAAACAATTGTACTTCTTAATAATAATAATACATTATATTATTTTAATCAAAATTTTCGTTTTTATTTCACAAGAATATCTGATTATTTACCAAGTACTAATTATACAGTGTGAAAGTCCCTAGGTGAACTTATTTGTATTTATAATTTGAGTTATCATCTATGTGTGCCACAATGTAGAGAAATACTTTTTATAGTTCCTAGTAAACTTCTCTCATTATCATCGAAAACAATTTTTTAATGGAAATTTCAGACCTAAATATTGTTTTCATACGTTAAGTGTATTCTAAAAAGACAAAAATATTGATATGTTTGTTAAAATGTTTAGTCTATTTAATATTGCTAATGAATATCTGACGACTGTTATTTTTGCCTGAGTCAGTATAGTTCCTTGTCAGTTATCAGTTATAACGTTTTTACTTTTTATAATTTTATTTCTTTACTCAATTCTTTTTTAATATCTCTAAAATCAATTTTATAAAATCATTATAAAAATTTGATAACATCATTTTTTGTTATTACTTTAAAATTAATGAAAAATCGACAGCATTAAGCCTCGTTCAGACAATGACACTAAAGGCCGTTACTTTTGCATAACACGCGGTGCCGCATATCAAACATTTTAAATATATGACACTAGTGTCGCGGCACCGTGGTAAGCTATGTTACCTGGTGTCACGGCACTTAATGATACGGCATCAGATTCATCGTGTGAGCGAGGCTGAACTCGAAGACATTATTTGTGAAAGATAAGTCCTCTCTAATTGCTTCACTTATTTGGGACTTAAATAATATTATTTTCTATTGTCTCTCAGCAATCATTCGGTATTGGAAAGAAGACCTCACCGGAAATGTCTGGTTAGGTCACCGCTACAAAATAGTTGGTACAAAGCATGGGAGCGCTGCCGTTGAGGTAGGTTCCTGGGAACTATGTATATGGAAGTCCTTAATAATAATGTATATATTTATATAATTATTAAAGGAACGTGTAATTTTCATTTTCTAATATTTGTTCGTCTACTCCAGTCCTCACGATCTGCGTATATCTTTCGAGGTTTGACCAAAAAAAAAAACCTGATCATAAACTATCTATCTCTATTTTCTTTTTCTCTCTTAATACAATTCAGTGTTGTCTGTCCGACGTCGTCCTTAACAAGCCAGACCTTAGCGGTCGATCGTGATGTACACCCAGAAAGAATACGCGCGATTCTCATACAAACGGCTTATTATAAAATACACACAAGAGTATATAATATGCTACCACACAAACGTGTTGTATATATATACCTATATTCGATTTACGCCTCGGTTTTATCGTAGATCGAGGATCGCTTATAAGCGGCCATATAGACGCCGATGTCGTGGGGAAGGACTGTAGTAATAATAATAATAACAACGCAATGAGAAAAACTCTAAGGAGGTTTTGTGTTTTCAAATCACTCTCTGATAACGCATTTACTTGTGTATATGTCGGCGAGTCAGCCGTTTGGTTCGTGATCGAAGAAAGCGACACCGAAGGTCAAAGTCGGCGTGAGCCTATGCAGGCTCAAAAGTAAAAAAAAAAAAAATTGAAAAATATACATTATGTGTGTATTTATTTGTTATGTACTTGCGACGGGGTATGGAGAAATCGATGAGCACGATCATCGTTCTATGTGGTATCTCCGGGTCTCGGCGTAGCATATACACACCCGAGGGAATCTTCGGCCTACCTATTACCCTGTGGGTAAAACATAATATGGTATCATGGACATTCAGGATCTAGACTCGAGAGATTTATAGGCTATGAATTACGATTGAGGTTTCGCTTGGACCTCGCGGTACGACCGTCCGCTACCTGTCTACTGTGCGTTTTATAATCATTTTTGCCGGCCGTGTTATTGTTTTTTATTGCGTTAGTCTCGTATCTATACGCACAGTGTCTGTAGGTACATCAGCATCTGTGTTGTTCATATAGTTATACTTGATAATGATAATAATAAATCGTGTACCGTGTATATTGTCGGTGTTTCGCTCGTTTTCTAAAGCAGTAATAATTCCGGTAGCCCGCTAAAAAATTCCAAACAAATACTTAAGTCCGACGACATCACGTTATATGCGACAAAGAGATGGCGACCAGTTTACAACGCAACGCGCGTTGATCGTGATCCGAAGATAACAATAATTTCTCATCGTTTAACCGTTTGTAATTCCACTAGCACATTTTTCTTTTGACGTTATTATCACCGACATATATAATATATAATATTTCTTTTCCCGTGATAATAATAATTATTCAGCCGCCGGGCTTACTTATCCGGCGGATATGACAACATAATAATATTCTCCGTCTGCGGTAGATACAGTGGTCATGGAGTAAATATACAATTTTGTGCATGCACCAATTTTCAGTAAAAACACACGATACTAAAACAAAACCAACGGCGTCGGGCTGGCTCGAAAAAATCTTATCGTGTGCAATTTATTTAGTTATGAAGGTCTATACAAAATAAAACTATATATATATATATATATATATATATATATATATATATATATATATATATAAAATAATTTTAAAAGAAAACTAACGCAAGTTGTGAACAACGGAGAAAACATTTTGTCTCAAAAAGTACAAATTTGTATACTGTAAGTTTCTCTTTAAAGTTTTTTTTTAGTTATTTACGGGCTAGTATTGGCTTTCCTCTTCTTAGATATTACTTACTTACATTAATTCGATAGCGTTGTAGACGGAAAAATATAAAATTAAAATAATATCCATGAAATGGTTTTAGAATATTTAGTTTTTTGCTGTATGATAGGAAAATAAATTTTCAATTTATTTAGTTTTGTTAATAGAAAACCCTTTTTAATTAAATTTGTTCGTATTTTAAAACTACATTAATTCTTTTTACTAATTTATTGTTGTGGTCATGTACACACACATATTATATACCTACCTGAAAATGCACCTATTCACTACTTCAATATTTAAACGCATCATTTGTTTTCTTACCAACAAATGCGTAATTCTTATACAGCACAAGTGTTGACACGAGGTCTATACGGTTTGCTTATCCCCAGTCTATTACAAATGAAACGTCTCTGGAGAATATTGAAAGTTTGTTATCGAGAGGTAAGGGTAGAGCGAAGCGCTTGGGCTATTTTTTTTGCAAAAAGCATACAAACCTTTTACTTTCTCCCTTAGAATAAATCGCATAGTATTGACGAGTAAGCGTTACCAATGAGATATTACATACTTACTCTTTATATACATTGCGTGTGTTCGTTCACGATCACTCCGGCTGCAGCTAAAGTGTATTGTATGACTTTTGATCTGGGAAGCACGATATGCCTGGAACAAACCTTGTCTCTTCCGCGTTTATGCCGTCAGTTCGGCTCGTGTTGGCGCTGCACAAATAATTATAATTATCAGCTACTTACAAGTACAGGCGTGACAAGTAAGGTAGGCAATTCTGCAGCCACGGTTGCACGCGATGCAACTTTCGATATTATAATGATGGTATTAGTAATCCCCATAGACCCCATCGCAGGAATATCTCTTATCTCAAGGTCAAGGGTTATGTGCAGCCTGAGGAGATTACTATGCAATCTTGAAGAAAACAGAAATTCTACAAACATGTATTATAACGAGCAAACGCATTAAGCGCCAATTTTCTATGATCGATATTATTATTTTAAAAAACTGAGAATAGACATCTATAACGTTGCGTTGCATTTTGTAGATCGAATTTCCGTTAAAAAAAAAATGTATGCTAAACTTTTTGCCAGTTTTGGTTGATCAAAAGGTAATGTTAATGTTATGTTTAATGTTATGTCTATTGTTTTTACAGTTGCAATCCGTTTTGGAATCACACCATAACTCGGAAGTTAAATGGGTGCCTTGCTTGTGTCCGGTAAAGAAGGGAGAACATCCACACGCATCTTTGTTTCATCATCATGCGGCGGCGGCGCCAGTGGCTCCACCAACACAAGCACCGCCTGTCTCCATCAATTCAGCACCGCGTTACATAGTGGCTAACTACCAAATTGAGCCTTAAAAACAAAAAAAATGATTTATTCTATAAAAGCTTGTGTATTTCACTAGTATTTTGTGACCCATTGAAATATGGTCATTTTCATTTAATTTATTTATAAACTTAAAACATTGGATAGGTGTGTATACGATTTATTTATATTTTTTTAAACTCTATCCTGTCAAAGCTAAAGTATTTTTTAACTTTGTATTTGATATTTATTTTTTTATATTTATTCATGCCAAGAACACGAAAAATACAGAAAGTCTTGTGCGAAATTAAAAATGAATCTTTAGATAGGGAAAAAAGAATTAATTTATTTTATTTAATAATTTTTATCGGTTATTGAAGTATATTTATAATAATTTATTGGATTCATTAAACGTCATAATGGCTTTAGTATAAACGTGCCACTGTTTTTTATTTATCAAATTCGACTTAATATAGGTACAGGGTGATTTTTTTATCATGAGCCACTTAATATCCCATAGGATTTAATAAGAAAATAATATTTTTTTTCAATATTGTTTTTATGCAATGTGATTTGGGAGGGGGTAAAAACAAACAAAATTGTGAAAAATTGAGATCACATTGTATAAAAATAATATGAAAAAAAAAGTTTTAATTTCTTATTAAACCTTATGAGATATTGAGTGGCTCACGATAAGTATCACCCTGTACCTATATTAAGCAGAATTTAATTATCGATTTAATTTGCGTATAATCGATAACTAATAACACAAAGAAAAAGAAGCTACCTAATGGTAATATTTCAGTAGATAATTAAATGCATAAACTCTATACCACGCAAGATAATTATATACAAAAACGTACACGTTATGTTGATACTCTTGACCTATGAAGACTTGTTGTGCAATTCAGTTTAGAAAGTTGAATTTCTGATCTTTGTTAAGTATAGACAATAACATTTTCAATGAGTTAAAAAAAAATAACAGCATCTCATCAGTGTAACAATTAACAAAGGCTTTTGTTATATCAAATTGTATTTTTGGATTGACAATTGCTACCATAGGTGAAACTAGCTGGGGTCTCGGCCCTCAGATTAAGCTTAGCCCCCTTAAAATGTTGGTCTGAGCTGTGGCAATGGTTGTAACCGTTACTTTTAAAGGTAAACCTAAAATGCATATAAAACAGTCTCTATATTTATATAACAGCTGTTTGATGCTGAAACTTAACATTGCATCAAACTATTTTTTCCGACTATAACTACTTTTTATTATAACAAAGGTGTAGTGCACAAATGTAAAAAGTTATAATTTTTCAGATATTGAGTATGCATTGCAATAGATAACTAATAGCGTCTTATGTTCGTGCACATTGTGTATGTATTGACTTATCACAATTGTGTACTTGACCGTTGATAATATTACGGTTCAACCAGAATGAACATTGTAGGAGTTAAAGAATCAGTTGCAACTAATTCATTAACTACTACAATGTTGAATGTATATATATATATACAACAAAGTTTTGCTTTTAAATTATTCCAGAATATAGTTTTCTTTTCTAAGCCAATTGTAGTTAAGTATTTCAATAATCCTACATAATGTGATTTGTCCAATTCAAGCAGAGGATAACGACGTGTTAACGTTAATTTAAAACATAAAGAGTTGTAAAAGTTGTACTTTAAACCGAACATAATTATTGTATTTTAATTTTTTCTAGTATTAGGGATTTGGATCATAATATTAGCGCATTAATATGTATGAATGATGATATGGTAAAACACGTATAATACGTGCTCTAAATAATAACAATTATAAGTATATCTGAGGATTATCTAATGTTTGTTTGTATATTCGCCGGCGTAAGTATGTCTTATAAGTAAGCTTATCATACACGCTGATCGGAAAACATAAAAGATGAAAAAACATATCGCGTTTCTATAATAGAACCCACAACAAGACGTATACAATATGTACTTTCTTTTGGTCAATTGTATACACAAATTAATGCACCGTATGCAGGTAATGCACGAATCTTGCGAGTTGCAACAATAATTATGTACAACTATTATCTTTAATATAATTATATATATATACAAGCATTCTCGACCTGGCGTTGCCCGTGTATTAGAATAGGCACACAATCAGCTGATCGGGTCACTGTATCCCTATGGTATGAAAAACCGTAGAGATGTGTTGATAACTATTAATACTATTGATAATCATAATTAATTAAAAATTAAAAACGTGTTCTATCGGATCAAATTGTGAATCTAAACCTTTCTCGAGTCAACTTAATTGCGCACACAAAATTTCATAAAAATCTAACCAGCCGTTTAGTAGGAGCTTGCATACTTACACACGGACAGAAGAAATATATATATATATATAAAGATAAAGCTATATACTCAGATACTTAAACATATCAGTATAGAAAAGTCTAGGCCTGTGTAGAGCAACAGACTATACGTCTCACATTTCTTATATAGCTTATATTAGGTAAGTTTGTTTGAAAACTGTTGTTTATGATTAACCACTCGCGATTTCGTGAGCTGCATCGTCCTTGTCTTTTTTTGGTTTAATTTGTGCTAATATGATATCACGGAAGTGAATGAAAAAATTTAACAGAAAAACAAATTCAATGCAATCATTTTAAATAAATCGAAAACACTTTTCTCGGTGAGTTTTTATTCTGTGTAAATAAAAGCCTGGCTAGATAGGTTTTTCGGTACACAAACTCACAAATTTCATAAATATAAAACCCATATTTTTGGTTAAATATCAAACATTTACTGGGCTGAAATAAATAACACCGAGCTTATTATTTTTTTTCGGTTAATTCAGTTTAAATCTCTTCTCGAGGTTAATGTTTCGACGAATTTTAAAGTTGTTATGATAGTTGTAATCCCTTAATTATGGTCCTTATATTAAAAATATCCCGCAAGACGGCCTCTGTATTATAGTAGGCCAGTGGCCGGTCCGTTCTAAAAGAACCTCAATTTAAGGAGGACAATTATTATAGTACTATAAGTACAAATCATATCCAATATAGGCGAATCCGAATTGCCTATACTAAAATTCTAATGATGTCGATTGGATAATTAGTACAATTTTAGCTAATAACGGCCTTTCGTGTAAATAATTGTTAATAATATTTTTAGGATTGTGAGTGATTATAATGATATACTTATAAAAGTTAAAAGTATTGAAAAATTTTGCTGTACAATTTTTGATTGTGGACATTTTTTTACATTGGGTATTATTAGTTGTATTAATACTTATTTTGGCTTTTGCCAGTTAAATATATTTTTACTAACTTCCTTTTTTAGTTTCGGGTTTATTATGCCAGGTTGCACAACAAATTGGTGTAAAATGTAATGTAACAATCACGAACCACTAAAAAAAACATTTAATAGTATTAAAGATTTAATGATTCTTTTAACACTTATAATAAAGTGTTCGTGCGACTCGGACATTAATAGCCTATGGTTATGATGTATTATATTTCAATGAACCATTACATTTATCAAATTTTATTTATGTTTCCTATGAAATCTTTAGCAAAAGACAATTTTATATAAATAACATTATTTTTTACTAGCCAAAAAAATGTAAAAAGTACTAAATACTTGTTTATTACGTTTTCATATTATCATTTGTTCAACATTTTTTTTAGTTGTGTTAACTTTTAGTAAGTGTGTAACTTGTAATGACCATTGCACCTTACATTTATGCAACTTGTCTACTAGTTACTCTTTTTGATTTATAGTTACTTTTAATGACGAGACCTAGCGTCGCGTCGGTAGGTATTTAAAAAAAACATTTAATATAACAACAAGTATTAGGTGAGTAGTCAGTACCATACCAAAGTAATTTATTACTTTTATTCCAACACCGCGCCTACAGTAAAATATTAAAAAAAAATTGTTTCTAATGTAAAATAAATATCATAGTAGAAATTATTATGTCCTGTAAAATGTTTAAAACTTTTTGTCATATCCGTCTGTGAAGTGCGGTGTGTCGGATCGTGACTTGTCAGACTTTGAAGTATGACAATATACAAGTATTCACTGGCTTGGCAGTAGGTATGGTAAGAAATATGTAATTTTTCTATAATATCTATAATGTCCAAGGAGTACCGGTTGTTAATGCTGAAAAGTGAAAAACTATATATATATATATATATATATATATATATATATATATATATATATATATATATATGTATAAATCACACATATATATATACATATATCACATATAAATACTCTTAGACATCTATTATAAGGAGCGTTGGAAATTTATCGTTGAAGAGCTCATATGAATCACATGGAAATAATAATAAATAAAATTAATAAAAATATACAAAAAAAGCAAACCGCATGTCCGTCTTTGCCGGGGCCGGGGAAAGCGGCAACCGCCGTCTAAGCTAGGTCTATGTCACGTGTTGCTTAGGGCGATATGAATACCAATTATAATGCTTGCGCGAGTACGGAATCCAAAAATCCGGAGAAACGCCAAGGATGAACGTCTCGGACAACGGAAGATTCTCTTCGAATAAAATCTCAAAACACAATTCGCGTTAGAAGAAACGATAGGCAGAGGTCAAAAAGCCTTGGGGCAACAGCGGAGGCGGTACGTACAGGTACTTTTTAGGTACCTACTATACAGAGTGTGAGTGTATGCAAACCGGAATGGAACGCACTGCGGCTCTTGCGGTAGTGCGCCGTGTGTAGTATCCGTGCAGTACACGTATAAACGGTACGCATATATATATATATATATATATATATATATATATTTTGTTATCCACAAACACACATAGGTTGTTGTATACTTATAGATATTATAATCGATCGTAAACACAATTATTGTGCATGGTTTTCTCCGCTATTAATTATTATGCTTACGGATTCCGCCGGGAAAACTTTCATCCACCGATGGATTACCCAATACAGCTGTATACATGCATACATACACTACAATTACTATGTATAGTGCTTATAGAATTGCTTCATGCAAAAAGGCCCTTAGTCCATAACTTTTAGTAAAACAAAAAAACTCATTATTTTCAAAAAAGGAAAAAATTGTAAGACCTTTATCAAAGCCAATAGCTATTAGATAGTAAAATTAAATTCTATAAGATAATTAGTTTTTAAGTTTCATTGACTTAGACCCTTTTTACAAATATCAATAATTGTATGTAGTTAATATAAGTAGTCTATAAAACACTGATTCTGGAATTTTTTTTTTAGTTAAGGCTTAAGAGATGAAAACGAAACTTCTGTATCATAAAACAAGTTTTATTAACGTTTTAAACAACAAATAT